CAGCCTCCTTTCAGGGAGTTGTGGAGAGCGATAAGGTCTCCCCTGCACCTCCTTTTCTCCAGAAAAGAGTGTGTCCAGGAACGTGCAAGTGCTGTGAAGCTAAGGAGAGCATTTCTGAGCCTCATCATAAAAATACTTCAGGGTTTCCAGTCAGTCTCTAGATAATATTTCTACTTTTAAACTGTGCAGGGACAGGTTAATAAGCAAATAGCGCAGAAAATAGAATGTGGCATTCAGAACTCCTTCCTTTAGCTCAGTCCCTTAGGCACTGCATTTAAAAAGTCATTCAGATTTGCTCTTTCTCAAAGCCAATGACTCTTTAAATATTTCATGTGCAGCAGAAAAGCTTTGACTAGAAAGATTTAAAAATGTCTTACCTTAAAATAGCGTATAGTATGATGATTGTACATTTTCTTGAATGAAGAAAGTACCACAGGAGAGACCAGCACTGAACTCTGAGAGCCTAAAGGCATATTTATATGGCTCAGTGCAGTGTTCTTTCCTTTGAACATGATAACTGAATGGGAGCTCATGGCCATTTTATTGTGATCCTTTGTGAAGGGTAATAAGCACTACAAGGAATGGTAAAATTAAAAATGCAATACTCATTTGAGTTTTTCCTGTTGATTCTTTGATCATTATTCTAGCTTAAGAAAAAACAGTTATGTACAGTATAAGCTGAATTGACTCGTTGCTTGCATGTGTTTTGTAGGAGTTTAAACTCCTGGCTTAGGCTTACAAATTGTACCACAGAATTCAAAAGTTTGGTGTTACAGTAGTCATTGTAAAAGTGTTTTAGTCCCTTTAATCAACAATAGGACCATTAGAAAGTACTTAAAGCATAAGCTTGGGTCTCTGTCAAAAATCAGCCCTCCTGAATCTTAGGTTAGCGTGTTCCCTGTCAGCTGCACAGCCTGTTCCTTGGAGTTGAACTTACGGCTCTTTGAGTCTGAGTGAAAAAAGTCTGTGGAAAAAAACTCCAAATCTGAGGGTTGTTTGTTTCTCTTGACTTCGTTTTCTTCTAATACCAGTGTTAATAAAATGTTGTGTTTGAATGCAGAATGAAAAGAACAGTGACAGAACTATAGAGGATATGATTCATTGGCTTCGTGTAAACAAGAGGTCTGCAGTCAAATGTTCCAATTTCTGCTAGTGTGTGAAAGTGTGACAGCTCTTGTGACACTGTCTTTCATCTGTAACACAGCTGTCACAATTAATTCTCACACCAATTCTTTGCTCTCGCTCAGAGAGACAGCATTCAATTTATTAAACTCTGAGGCAGGTTTTTGTGTGTGAAAATACAGCACAGGATATGTTGTAATAAGTTGAATATTCAAAATAAGTTATTAGTCACAACGGTGCTGGGCAGATCTGGTATCTGTTATATCAGATTTAACACGTTCAGATGAAAAGGCAATATGTTAGTCACCTTTTATACTACAAATGCCTATTATTTCTACTTGGGAAATTGTAAACGCTGAACCGTGTTCTGCCAGCTCTGCTTAGAATGAAAACAATAGCTAATGCTGCTGAGATGTTTTGCTCTTCTTGCATGCTTTCTAGAAATGATTACATTCTATCATCTTATTCTCCATTTTCTTAGGAAATATGCAAAAAAAAGCATAAAATTTACCAAAAAAATGTTGTGTGTAAGGCCAGAATCAGTAAAATAAATCAGCATAGTTCAGCCAGTACTGTTATGGATCTAAATTTAACGATCACACCCCCCAAGTGCCGTTCTGCTGCCAGCTGTTGTTTCCTGAACTTTTTGCAGGGCCGAACTACCAGAGTTGTACCAGACATGGGCTGGATTTAAATTGCTCACATTACAGGGGAAATGAAGTTCAGCATGATGCTTAGAAACTCATATTGATCAATACAGAATTACTGATCAACGATTTTTTCTTACGTATTTTCCAATCATTTGTCACAGATTTTGTCTCAGATTTTCCTTCTGCTAGTCTCACTGGTTTCACCTCTGTAGGGCTACTCTCTCTGCTATTCCAGAGACCTGCCATCTACCTAACAGACCAGGTGGGCATGACGGATTTATCAAAGAGTGGTCCTTCCCAATAGAACTCAAGAGCTGTGTGTAAAATAGCCTGCTAGGAAGTGTTTCACCAAGTTCTTTTGGTGCATATCTCATTTACAGGTGGAAAAAGTATCTACAGTCTTCATTTTTAATTTGCAGTCTAACAGCGCTCACATTTTTCTCCAGGTCAGATGCAGGAATATCTGTAATTTTATCAATATCAGCTAGAACAATGGAATCTCCTGATTGATAATCCTCATACTGACTGAATGATAAATTCTTACCTGAAACTTCTTTTCCCCTGTACTTCTTTAAGTGATAAATTTGCTCAATGAATGTGAAAACTTCCTCTTTTTTTATTCCTCCTTTCTAAAATACATCAGCAAGTTGAGCAATTTTGATCCTAAATCTTGTAAACCAAGGAAATTCTGAATTACTGCTTGAAATTTTGCTACAGAAATCTGTTCAAGAGTGTACAAATATAGGTGAGCAATTAAACAATCGTTGTAAGTAAATACAATTCTAGCATAGCTAAATAACCTCAGCAATTCTATACTTTTTTTCAATGATTTCATTTTAAAAATGAAAAAAAAGTTCAAATGTAGCAATTATAAAGATTGATGTTAAAGGGAGAAAGTCTGAGAAGTGTCCATTGGTTGACATCTATCTAGGGGGAAAAAAGTCAACAAAACAAACCAGAAAAGTTATTTTGTGAGCGGTTTCTGTTCACAGCAGAGACTTTTGCCTTCAGAGAAACAGTGACTAGGTGAAGTTCTGTTATTTGCAGCATTCAAGGCATTGGACTAGATTATTGAAGCTCAAGGCTCATGCATTTAGATATTGTTATTCTTGTGCTAAGCTGAATTTTGTCTTTGGAATTAACATAACACAAGTTGTTCAGCTGTGCAAAGGAACATAGTAATTTATTTTGCTTAGCCCTAGAAAATCGTGAAGACATCTTTCTATGGCATTTTTTGCATCTGATAATGAGACATTTTTTAAAATACTGAAGCAGAAAATGATAACTGCTGGAGCATACTGAAAATACAGAACTTTGGCAGCCAGAGCGTTCTACCTCCTCCTCTGGACCTCAGTGCTGTGGAATTAAAGTTCTAGGGGTTCCTTCTGTCCTGTTTCCACAGATGAGAGCTTGTCAGTACTGTGCTGCAGGTCCAGCCAGTAGTGATATTGGTCATACTGGCATATATGGTACACAGAACCAACCAGAGATCACAGAATTGTAGGGACTGGAAGGGACCTCTAGAGATCATCGAGTCCAGCCCCCCTTGCAAAGCAAGCCACCTACAGCAGGCTGCAGAGATCCACAGATAGATCAGTTCTTTCAGCAGCGCCCACATAAAATCATGTTGCTCTCACATAAGAACAACATATGAACAGGTCTAGTTCTTCCTCTCTGATCAAAACTGAGGTTTGCTCATGAAAGATACGCACACTGACTATGAGCATTCACAAGCACACTGGTGACTATTGACTTTTAAGTCAATGCAATACCCACGCCCAAATTCTATCCCCAGTATGTAGTCGCTGCCTCAAACCTTGGTCTGTCCAGATGGAGATCTACTCACTGACCAGTGCAGCTTGAAGATTGCTATCATACAGACACATTTTTCTCACTTCTTTCCATCCATTCTTGAGATTCAGATTACTGTTTTTACCTTCCTCAAATTGACCTAATTCACTCCAAATCTGTTTTATCTGGTGCACGAAACTCTCTGCCATCATAAGAAATATTATTTAAGGGATTGCTAGATACATGGTGGGCTTTGTAAAGTACTGTGTGATCAAGAAGGAAATATTTATGGGCAAAGTAAAGCAAAGGCCTTCATGTAAACTAGATTATACGTGTTGAGTAATAGTGTAATCTAAAGTGATGTCCGTATCTATTGAACCTGAGCTAACTGATGAATGCTATACACTGAAGTCCTGCCTTTGGTTGTTTTTATTGCCTGAGTTCTTGACTCAGAGTTGTTCTGTGGCTGTATCCTTGTCAACTGCTGTGGCTCCTTTTGTGAAAGTTTGGGATGAAAAAAAATATGTAAAGTGATCTTTGATAGCATTAAGGAGTGGAGAAAATTAGTTGATAAAAAGTGAATTTTTGGGGGGGCTGTCATGTTCCTTAACTTTTCACTAGTGTTTTTACAAAAGTATTAGTATAGCTGAGCTTGACATTTGGAAAGAGCACAAAATATTTCTAGGCAAATGATCTCCTCAGCGCTAAAGTTTACAGGAAATTAATAGTTGGATGTGCAACAAATTGTTATTTGTTGAGCATTCTTTGCCTCTGAGCACCATGGCTATATGAATGGAAATTGGTATTCTTGGAAGCAGGTTAAATGAGCCTGATGTTTTGGCTGTTTCTTTTTGCCGTTAAATGAGAAATATTTTCTGCTCAGTAAGTACTCTTTCTGTCAAATCATAAATTCAATTTTGTATTAAATAGCTGTTTGATATTTTTACTGTTTTTATTTTTTATTTTTGCTGAGGTACCTTTGACTTTAAATGAATTATCAAACAATTCTCAAAGCAAATGAAAGAACCAAAAACCTTTCTTTTCAGTAGACTGTCGAGGATATATTTATGGCTTTAATCCTACCAGCGGAACCCTCTGTCTCGGCATCAAAGGCTTTACAAGAGTCATTATTGACATTTTGAAGTTTCAGCTGGGGTGTTCAGTTTATTTGCTTGGTTTTATTGATAACAGAGCTGATGGTGACACTGTCAACAGAATTGATGTTAGGGCAGTTACTGCGAGTAAATTTGTGTTTATTGTCATGTATAATCTTGATCTGTAAATGTTATGAGAATATAACAGTTGAACACTTCTGTACAATCTATCGAGATGAATGCTACCCATAATCTTAAGCCTTTGTGATTCTACCCATTTACAATAATTAAAGACACTAAAGCTGTATTTGTTTTATTTTTTTTTTCAACTTATTGCACTTAGCAATGTAGCAAGAAAGCATCAGCTTCACTGTTGTGGATCCTGAAATCATCTGGAATAATTGCAAACCGTCCTTGGCCACGGATCACTCTCACATTGACGACCACTGCTATAATATTAACTATGGCTGTGTTCAACATGGTAAGTGAAAAAGAAGCGATTTTTGTTTTTTGTTTAAGATCTTCTTGCTTGCTTAGAATTTGTTTTAAATTTATCTCTCATGGGTATCCTGGATGAAAATGATTGCCAGACAGAAATGTAAAGCAGAGCAACAGAAAACATGCTGTACAACAAGGGCTTCTTTCAGTGCACAAGATGCTCAGCAAGAGCTCAGATAGTGTTTAAAGTTTAATAAAGAAAAAAAAGTAAGTTATAAGGAATAGAAGATCGTTTGTATTGTTCGTATCTTACTCATCTGTGCACTGATTTGAAAAGCAGAGTAGTGCTCGAAGAGTACAGTATCTTCTCACAGGATGTGTGGAAGACTTTGTGCAAAGGCAGCTAAGTTTTGTTCCGTCTTGTGTTCCTCTTATGATCATTAAATGATCATAATTTATACATTATTGATTTTCATGTGCTTGGCTTTTTTTTTTATTTGAAAAAGGACAAAGATGAAAGTTACATAAATAAATTCAGAAGTACTGATCTAGAAATTTGCTAGAACTTAAGAACTTACCTGTAATTTAGGCTTTTCAACTTGTCCATTTCTCATAATAGAGAAAATCCAAGTAATTCTACTATTCTTTCATAACTGTGGCAAATAAGAAGTAAATCTGCCATTACTCTGCATAAAGCTGGAATCTTAATAACCTCATGTATAATGAAGTGTGTGTTGTGAAATGCCAATGTATGGGATCAGAAAGTGTAACTTGTTTTGCCCCATGGGCTGAGCCTACCGTTCATACAAAATTGGGAATTTAATCCAGGTCAGTTTTGCGTTTGTAAAATGGGAACTGCAGTATTTATTTAGGTGCTGCTTACAAACATCACTGCATGGGTATTACTCGCATTTCAGATCAATGAGATTTGCACTTCAGCACTTTTGAAATTACAACTCCAGCACTTTGTTGAGTTGCTGATGTCCTTGAGGTTCATAAGGAACTTAGAGATTGATAACACCTACTCTTTACATATTTTTTCTCATAACGTTGCAGGGGGCACTAAGTAAGAACTAAACCCATCAGAGTGAAGTAATGATGTAACGTGGTCTTTTAAGTGTGAACGTTTGACATTTCTGTTAAATTCTTATCTCGGGTTTTTCTGTGTCCTTGTTTTTGTTGGTTTTCTTTTCAGTAGGTATTTTCCTTTCTTAGAGAGGAGACATTCAAAAACAATTCCATGTTTAGGAATTTAAAATGCAGCTAATTTAATTTCATGTTTATTGTTTGTAGAGAAATACACAAAGAAGTGGTGACTGAAGCACTTTTCAGCGATGAAGGCAGTTAGCAATGGGAGAAATGGTTCTGAAAAGTTACTGATTTGCTATCGCTTCTTGTCCTCAGCTCAGGACTATATATCTTTATTAACAATAAAATTTATCCAAGCAAATGTTACTGGGCATAACACATAGTGTGGCTTGCAGTATGGAAGTCATGTTAGATTATTTCTTCTGTTTTAAACTAAATGAGTAGGAAGAAATTAGATAACCCACTTGAGAGTAAAGTATAGTTTGTGTTAGAGGTCATGCAACATATGGGTTGGTTTTTTTTTCAGTTAGTGTAAAAGAAGCTAGAGTCAGCAACTGTCTTTTCTTTAGGCTAAAGTTCTACTGTTGTGAGTAGTCCACATAAAATTTGACGTTCAACTAATAGAAGAGAGTTTTAGCAAAAAAAAACCCAGTTGTTCACTACATCATTTTTAGAAAAAAGAAAAGCTTTTAATTTAATTGGTTCAGGTCCATTTTTATGTGGACTGAATGTTACAGTGAAGCATAGTAGGCTGCATTTTGAAGTCTTTGTGCCTTATCAGTAATGACTGCACTATTACAAATAATCACGTCCTATGCTATTCATGAGATGATAATTTTAAGTACAATTCCCATCTTGAAACTAAACCTTAATAGTTTGACTATTGAAAAATGATTTTAAATGTGATTGTGAAATTTGCATTTCCTCAATATTAATAGCAAATTGTGGGAGAGACTCTGAAGTATCATTATTATATCTCCAAGCAACATGTACTTAATAGCAGAGTCGATTAACTGCATTTATTTCCATGAACTTTTTCAGTAGAAAAAGGCAAAATGTAGTCATTAAGATTTAATGGACATAAAAAGTGTCTAACCATCCCACACCTAATAAATCATGATTAAGACCAAAATGTCAAATAAAGCTCAGACTTTATGGTCAAGGGGCAGTAGAATGGAGTGAGGGCGCAGTTTTATTTTAAATGAGCAGTTTCAGAAGACATCTGAATCTAGTCGTAATGTTTGAGAGGTATATAGTCATGATTAGTGAAGTTGAAAAACAGCTAATGTGACATGAAGTATTGAGTACCTCTTAGCTGAAGGAGAATGTGACTAATGCTGCTTCCCCTGAGTGTAAAATTTGAGGCCACAAAAAGAGTAGTGGCTGAAGAAGACTTTTTCTGCAGTGTTGATCTGCATTTCAGAAATATGAAAAAATTTATTACAGGGAACAATCCAGACATCTTAGCAACAGTAGGACTGTGTGGCTGCAATGGGTCAATTTCTGGAAGCTGCACGTGTGGTTGTCTGCAGTATATCAAGTGGCTTTGCCTCATCACCCTCTTGCATTCGTGTGATCTGGGGGAACGTGGATTGGTGAAAGAGCCATGTCAGAGCATTTTGTTTCAGTTACTTTGCATTGAATGTATGAATAGTTCTTGGCAGAGCAACAGGATCACAGAGCTGTACTGTCCCAGGAAGGTGCCCTAACTAGCAGCTTAGAATTTAGGAAGTTTCTTGCTTTTCTGTCTTGCATCTAGTAAATATTGAAGTACTGGAGTATTTTCTCAGGGGAAAAAAAAAAAAAAAGTGAAGTCTTCAGGTTTGATGTCTTTGCTTCATTGTTTAATGTACGTCTGTGAGCACACCAGCAAGCATTGGCTTTGTGGTTTTCTGTGTGGTTTTTTTGTGGCTGATATCCAAAGTTTTAACTGTGATAAGTTCTTGAGGAAACTTGTTTCCATTTTCATATTAGAAAGTTACTTTCTTGAGTATACTTTCCTTTTAAAGTAGCTAACTCTGTTGATACATTTGCTGACCTTGCTCAGTGCTTTATTTTAAACAAGCAAGCTCTTCTGAAAGACGCGTTCTAATTATTTGCCCTTACGGTGATTAGCACATTAAATACCTTATTTTGGAGGGTGCCTAATGTATTTATTTAAAGATGAATAAACAGACACTGTCTGGAGCTTGACTTAGCCTTGGATCTGGGAGCAGAAAAGGTTATGCCCAGGTAGGGCCATCTCACTGAAGCTTTACATGCAGGGCACCATCACAAATACATTCTACATTATAGACAGAATTTAAGAAACTAAGCCATGCTGTCACAAATTTTGCTAACAGTCCAGCACAGAACTGATAGAAGTGAACATCCCTCCACACCTGCCAAAGCCTATGATAGTATATGAGTGTAAAGGCCCAGCAGGTTCCTTGTCTCTCTGTGGGATGCTCAGTTGCTTGCCAGTACCTCTGTACGATGGCTGGGCCTTGAACACAGAAATACGTATGTAAGTATGCATTTTTACCTGACTTATCAGCTTCTATAACAAATGAAATGGAATTATTGAACAACATGCTTAAGTACTTAGCATTCCAGTACTTATCCTACATAGACACTCCTAAAAGTTTGTGAAGATGAGGAATGCTACTAGGAATTGGGATTTTTCCTATTGTTCTTGTGCCATTCACACCATGTCAGACTAACTCGTGTTCTTCAAATGAAACTGTGGTAGATTTTGAGAAGAAAGTTCTCTTGAACCACATGGGTATTTGGAAAGCTGATAGAAAAATAAGGAATGAACAAGAGAAGTCCTGCAGGTTTGCCTTAGAGCTTTATGCAAAAGAGCAGTGCTGGACAAAAGCATCATTGCTTCATTCGTGCTTTAAGTAAAAAGCAAATCCTGTAGTTCCACTGGTAATACCAAACTTGCATGCTTCCAACATACTTTAAAAGTATACTCTTCTCACTCTGTCTTTTGTAGGGCATAAAACATATTTCATTTACAACAGTCCAAAAAAAAAAAAAAAAAAGCTGTAGACCACTGTTTCTCAAAGAAATGTCATGGTTCTTATGAAAACTAATTTAAAGTGGAGCTGCATGTTCGTATGAAGCAAGGATGTATGGAGAGACAGAAAGTGACAAAAATGTTTCTTTGGATTATTCTTTGTGGTCTTCACAAGTCCATCTTCAGGGTTTATAATTTAATTTTGTTTAAGGAAGAGAAGACAGTGATGGGATCAAATTAAACTTCAGCTGTAAATTTAGATATACAGACCTTTCTTTTCACTGCATATGTATTTCAATTCATTAAGCACATATCTGCCTTGGAGCAGTTACTTCATGTGGAGCTTACCTCTGTGGTTTGAGATTTCTTGCTGATGCACGAAAGCATACTTCGTAAGTTTCCGATTTGCACAGAAAATGATCATAGCATTGCCCTTATAGGTGGATGCTGTAAGACATCATGCTGCCCCAGGTCAGTGACCACAGTTGAGTTATCCCTGGCAGATAGTCAGATCAATTAATTTTGCACCTTTTTCACCCTGTGGTTCAATGGGTCAGTGCAGGAGTACTTCCCAGCTCCGTTCCTCCTTCCCACCTGTCATGGAGCCAAGCCGTTCACATACTACCTAATAAAAATTTTACACATCTTATTTTTTATTCCATAATTCAGTGTGCATTTTGATAAGTGCATTTTAATATTAAATATTGCCATCTTTCCTTCTTCTTAGTAGGATGCTATTTTATGTACATTAATATGAAAATCAGTAAACCCACTATCTTAGTAAGGTGAGATATACCCATTCATCTTGATTGTGTTTCCATGTTTCCATCAGAACAGCAAGACAGGAAACGTTGCTTCTTGTGAATTGTGCAGAAGTGTTTAAAGTACCTTTGTGAGAAAGTTGACTTTGTAAGTTGACTTTGTGTTGTTTTAGTGAGATCCAAACAAATGTGTTACAGTCTCGTGCAGATTCCTGGTCTGGTAATAAGAGAGATGCACTAATGTGCTTATCCCATGTTGTCAAGGGAGGATCTTTCACCATTTTGTTCCTACTGAAAGAGCACCACAGCAGGTATTTTCATCATGTGACATAAAAAAATTTATGGATTGCAGATTATACAAACACAAAAGAAGAAAAAGCTGCTAGAATATATGAGGATAAAATGAGATTTTACTGGTAGTGTGCTCAGATGTTCCCTGGCAAACATTGGTATTCATAAAAAATATTGATTCCATTTGAGTCATTTGAGTAGGTGTGACTACTTAGTAGGACTGAGCTGTCTCTTAAAATACTATGTTGAAGAACAATGTATATCTCCGAAGCGTGATAGCAGATGCAGATAGCTGATGAGAGAGAGAAAGACAAGTACAAACACATCATTCAGAAATAAGTGTTGTTTGGCTCATGGGAGATGGCAACATTTCCATATCCTTTTTATTCCTTTCTATGCTTATTTATGCATTCATAGATACACCACATTTCATATAGCTTTCTGTATATACATTTATTTGTCTGAAGTACCCCATACAAAGTTCAAAAACAAAATGAAAACGCCTTAATAGAAATGAATGTATGCATATATATGTCTGTATATAAACTTACACACATTTATGTATAGGACTGTGCTGCAGATCTTCATGATACATCTTTTAGTCTGTCAGCATGCCTGGGCTAAGATTCTGAAATTAAATGTAATTATTTCATGTCTGTAAGAAAACTCAATGCACTGTGAGCAGGATTCATTGTCCACCCTTGGCAAATGACCTGAGTGACAACAGCTGTGAAGATGAGGACGTTAATGCAAATAGTTGAAGGCAGGCAAGGGGATTAAATTTTTGAAGTGTTTTGGAGGAGCCTTGCCTCAAACTGCTCATGTTGAAGAGAAATACAGACATCAGCTGAGTTAAATAGTAACCACAGGGCTTCAGAAAGAATTTGAAACCAAAGGAATTAGGAAGAAGTTTATGAGAAGTATGAGCATTTGTAACAGGAAGACCTTGTTGTGGGAACAGCAACAGTCAAAATCTTATTTGATACTGCCACTAGTCACACCTCTGACCCACACCTCAGGTTTATCTGCACACATGAAATCATAGGGTACTTCCTCACCAGCATCAGCATCAAAAGATTGTGCAGAGCACCTTCACATTGAGCTGTTGCACCCACATCTCCTTGCAGGAGAGGTCAGGTTCCCCTTCTCCCAGAAGAGCATGTGTTCATTTAACTTAGTCATCCCGTCAATAGGGGTTGGATGGATGGATAACTTAGAGCTCTTTAGGCTGAGTTATAGAAGGGCAATTCACAATTTATAGGTATTTATTGGCATTTTGTAGGGACTTTTATTGTGCCTTATTTGTTATACTACTGATATTGCACCTGAAGGAATGCTGGCTAATTAGCTACATGTAAACAGAGGGACATGCTAGTGAAGAAAGACAACCTGAAAGTGCGCACGTACGAAGGAAGGTGAGCCCATTCTGTATGTAACTCTGGAGGGTGTGACACTGTCTGTAAAGCAGTCTTCATAACAGATGGTACAGCAGTCACCTTTGCTGCAGACAGTCCTGCATCTGTGGAAGGGCAGTTTCAGACATGATGGTTTCAAGCTCTTCTCAGCAGCACCACAAAACAAATCAAGGAGTGCTGGCCACAGGTGCTGCCTTGCAAGGCTGGATAGTCTTTAAAAAAGAAAAAGTCACTATGCATGTAGTACAGAGCTGGCATATCTTGCCAAGGGTGACTGTGGAGTCAGCTTGGAATCTGTCAACACTTGGCTATGTAGAGCAGTGACTGATCAAATCTAGTGTTAGTAAATCAATAAACCACTTAGATCGAAAATGGATTAATCTGAGTAAACTGAGCAACTTGTCTGGTGTGGATTTTCGTATGCTGTGTATGAGTGTGAAATTTGTTGATAGAATTAAAGTGGCAGGCAAGGTCTGTGCAGGAAGGTCAGAGATTTTAGAAAGGAAGAAGTCAGCTGGATATTTGAGAAAAAAGAAACTAGAATGGGATTTATTACTACGGAGTGCAAGATTATGGTTGGTCCAGCTGATAAGCTGGGAGCACATCAATTGGGGATGAATTAAGTTCAGGATTTTGGTTAGTTACCTGAGTTTAACGAGAACTCAACTGAATCTCAGTAAGCATCCATGTGTGACTGCTCTTGTCTCAGGGCAAGTACAAATTAAATTTACCCAAATGTGTCCCAGTGGAGGAATATTACCTCTTGCAGACCATAATAATAATGGCTGTTATTACATCAATGTAGCTGTAAGCAAGAGAGTTGTTGCTGTGATGTACAAAAACATAATTCCTGCAGAATTAGTATTAATGTTATTGCAGTACTCAGTCAAAATCTGGAAGAGTGATTTCAATTTTGGTCATCTAGAAGGTTGAACTGAAAGAGGTATGTACAGAGGGAGGCTGCTAGAAGGGTCAGGGGGATTAAGAACACATTTTCTCAGAAGAAACTAGAAAAAGCATAGATTTCTGAGCATCATGAAGGCTGAGATAAGACAGCTATCTGGAAGCTGAAGATTAGTGCCAGAACAAAAAAGTGGGAATTGGCTTTGAATCAACAGAAGCTGATAAACTTAGAGGCACTGGAATAAATGTTGTCAGAGAAATCTAACTCAGAACACACTTCAAGAATACATCAAACATTACTGTCTGATGGTAGTTACCCTTCAGTTCAGCAGACTGAACCTGGTACTCTAGAAGATACTGATTCAGCCCTTCTCTTGCAGTAATATTATTACTATTATTATTATATAGAATATAATATATAATATTATTGCTATTACTAATAATATTATCCCATTCGTGATTACTATGAAAAGGATTGCACCTCAGTAAATCAACTTTAGTAAAGACTTCTTTGTTTAACTCTTCCTGTATTTAAACAGGAGATTCAGTTGAGGTAAAACTGAGAATTATTCATTTTGAATTTATATTATCATTGTCTCTCTTGTGTATGAGCTTCTGATACCTGGAGGTAGCACAACAAAGAACCTTTTGTTTTTCCATTCAAATGTGTCTTATGGAGATTAGCAAATCCGTTGTCTGAAGCATGCAGGATCCAAGTAATCGAAGTGATGTCATTTTGCCTTTGCTATTTCAGTTTGCAGTGAAATACCAAAGTTAAATGATTATTGGCAAGGCTTTCTCCACTTCTCCATTTCCCTTTTCTGTTTTGACCTTATACAGCTGACAAGCTAATGGATTACATGTTGTTTTTCTCTAGTTTTTCCCGGATAATGCTGTGGCAGCCTTTCCCCCAGTTCTTAATTCATCAAATGCAAGTTTTCCTAATTTGAGTAATCAGACACGGTGGTGTTTACAAAACAACTGTTTTTTCCTACCGGTAAGTTGATTTACATTTATTTATTTGTTTAGAACCATTTCTCTAAGTAGAATTTCTATGGCACTATTGGAAGTTAAAGACCAACTAGGTTGTTAAGACCACTTTGGAAGCTTCTTTATTTTCAGTCAACTGCAACTGCCTCTGAAGGAAGTAGGTCTGTAGAGGAGTTTAGTAGTCCTAAATATTGAGGTTATAGTGAATGTCAGATGAAAAATCAAGTAATAGCCTGATAAGAGCCATAGATCACCTGTCCTGACAAGTAGGCTTTATGAGGTGTCAGGAGAAGACAGTGACCATGGAGGCTGTGGTGAGCACAGTGTAAGTGGCTGTCTGTGAGGAAGCAAGGTTGGCTGGCCCATAGATGTGTTTCACAAGGACCAGCACTAAGCTTAAACATACTCATCATTTTCTTTTTTCACCTGGCAGTAAAATTGAAATCTGTGATTCTAGACTTGTGTCATCATTGCATCATGGAAAGGGGAAATAAAGCACTCATATGCTACTACATAAACTGTGTAAAAAAGATCTGAGCTGGTTTGAATAAGATGTCTTAGTGTAAACAAAAGCACACTGGCACGTGAAAAGGGAGAAGAACATTCCTACGAAAATGGAATCTGTATCCCAAGGAGAATGATTTTTAGAGAGCTTAGGAAAGATCTGCATCTGAACATAACAAGCTGCATTTTGTGCCAAAGCAGATCAGCAGTGCTTGAATGAAAAAGCAGGAAGCAGCAAGAGAAGGGAGAATATTTTATCTCTATGCAGAATTGATGACACCAGTAACAGAATGGTATGTGCTGATTTCCACATAATTATGGAACCCTAGAAGCATGGAATGGTTTGGGTTGGAAGGAGCCTTAAAAAACATTTCATTCCAATGTCCTGCTGTGGACAAGGACACTTAGACATGGTTACATAGGTGACTATCAAGCTAAGCAGTCCCATTCACACCCAAAAGCAGGATGTTAATTTTGTATAGAACTCTTTTGTAAAAAATAATTACGCTGACTGTAGCACTTGCAAACTTTCAACATCCCCTTGACAAAGCAACAGTAGAGCATGAGTTTCTTTTCTTTTTCCCATTTTCAAGTTTACTTAACTAACTTTGGTACTGACAGGTACCTATGTTCTCTTTTGGCCCCATTGTGAAGTTATCCTTGTAGTCATAGAAATGAAGCAATCATTTTCCCAGCATACACACAATGCTTGCTCACAAGCACATAGAAATTAATTGTTTCCAAGCATATTCATATTTGTGTTGGTGTTTTTTTTTTTAATAATAGTGGATTTTCTAGTTCCCTTTTTTTTTTAACTTATTACTGTTTTAAAGTTTTTGAAAAACACTTTTTACAGTGAAGCTCTCCAACAAGCATCTGAATGGTACATTTTTCATGAATTATACTTATTATTAGATTCAATTTCTTTTTCTTAAAAAAAAAAAAAAAAGTCTTTTTCCTGCGTTTTACCTTGTATAACTGTCAGATCTTCCTATGACCAACGCGTTCAGAACAACTGATGGTTTATAAGTTTGGAAATACGAAAATATGAAACTTTTGTCAGAGAAACTTTGATAAATTAGCACAACAATTATGTTAAAATGTCACTTCTGGTAAAAATCATGAAAAGTTTAGATTGACTGAAGTATTTAAATACTTTTTCCCTTGTTTTCTTTATTAAGCAGTTCTGAAATGTGCATTATTCTCATCTGAAGACATACCTCCTGCTTTCTAGCTTCAAAAGCTGAAAATTCCTTTTGGGTTACTATTTGTTATCCTTACGAAGTTTTCTGAAAAACTGCAAATAAAATTCTCTCTTTCCTGAATGAGATATTGAACCGCTGATAAATGCTTGCTTTCTTAAATTGCCTATCAATCCTTTTTTATCTGTTTTACCTTTAAGCACTTCTTCCTGTGATTTATAGCCCTGGAGCTGACAGATCTATTGATGACATAATCTAAAATGAATGAATAAGTGATTTTTAAATTATTTTAGCCCCAGTAGCATTTAGTTCATCTGGAAGCCTATTGATTGATTCTCTCCCTGCTCCACACCATAAAATAACTTTTCTGATTTGTATTCTTTGCTTTTGTGCTCTTTTTTGAAGACTTACCAAAGATTACACAGTAAGTTATGAGAACTTTGCTCATGGTTTTATTTAGTTTTGCTGTGAAGCTTCATTAGCTTCTGTATAATGGAAGCATCAGGCAGAGGTCCAGTCAAGGATGGCGTGTGGTGCAGATCCCATCTGTGGAGAAGTTATCCTGCATCTTCTTTTGAGCTCTTACAGGATTTTCTTAAAAGAAAATCTTTCTATTAATCATTTCTGCTGTCAGACAAAACTTACATTCACACAAGCACTTGATGCTGCTCAGTTAGATAAAGGCAAGGATGTGCAAGTGGCATCATCACCAGCTGAGGCTTCCATATGGCCAGGGGACACGCAGAGCATGGCACACACCTGCCTTGATTGGGTGGGTTGTTACCCGAGTTGCCAATTCCTCAGTCTACCATCATTGTCTGCAAAAGCTCACAGGTTTGATATTGTAGCAACTCTGTTGCTATAAGAGCATTAGTATCTCTATGGTGTCCTTGTTCAGGAGGTCAGTCGTACAGAGGTGCAGGATGGGCGTACCTAAAGTTGGCATGTTTCTTAAGAAATGACTCCTGTGCAGCAGTACGCTAAAATTATTAGTTTTTCCCAGCTGTGCACTAATTCCTCTCCAGGTTCATTTCATCAGCTGAGAAAAGAACCTTGGCCAGCCATGACAGCCAAGACAGGCTGCCATTTGTCAGTTGCCTTCCAATTTGTGTGCTGTGACAAAGATCAGTGCTTTCATGCTACACATACCACAGCAATTTCACTAGTCCTGCTTTTCTGAATGGTTAATTTGACTGTTTCTTCACTGAATTTGTACTGTTTTCAAACTTTTTTTTTTTTAACAGAGAAGGATTCAAGCTACACAGCTTTAAATACCTACTAAAATTTCCAACTTTATTTTTATTAAAAAGGGGAAAATTCAGTTGATATGACAGATACTTAAACATTCATTTGCAGAATTGGGCACTTGGAAGCAAAAGTTTTGAGTATATGTTTTATGATTGAAAAAAGATTAATTGAAGGTGGCATTTTAAATAAGGCACCATAAGCTGATGTGGCCTTTTGAGTAGAGTTTCCCATGGTGTCTTTGCCAGAGCTGTGTGGTGCTTACTGGAGTTTGCTCTGCAATGTGCAATATCAGTCCTCATTGTTAAATTATGTCCGTGCCACACTGTTCTATCAACCATCCACCCACCTCTGAAGTCTTAGCCAGCATTTTCAATCTGGTTATACATTCCTGTGGAGCACTAACAGGAACTTTATTATGCTTGGAAGTTTCTTGGTTTTTGCTTGGTACATTTGTGGATTTGAGACAGTCTTTTGTTTGCTATAAAACTTATTTCACAAGTAGAATGCCCTTGGGATTAGAAAAATGACTGCTGCTACTTTTATAAAACACTGAATTCTGAAAATACAGTGTGAGCTCTTGAGGGATGCGGCCAGCAGAGAAATTTGTTTGTTTGTTTGTTTTATTATCCTGAACAGCAGTTCTTTATATTTCTTATTTCAAACAGATCTGCAAGAAAATTGCAATAACAGCAAAGATACAGATGGCAGATCAATTCTATATGATGAGTGCCATAAAAATTATTATTCTTAATGATCCTCCAGAATTAGTATATGGTGGTTCAGGTTCTGTCAAAAGTACTGTTATCAACAAATCAACAGAAATCTGAAAACCAAATAGCATATATAGAAATAGAATGCTTTGTAGCTTAAGAAAATATAGTATCTTTACAGGGTGCAAAGGTGTAATTTTCGGGAATGATATTTGGCAAAGGTACTGTATGTTAACAACTCATAAAATGGTTCTAATGGGATTGTATTTCTGTTTTAGCATTGGTTTTGATACTGTAATCCATTTTGAGAGAGTATGAAGTTAATTTTTTTTTTAACCCCAGTAACTTAACTTCAACCATATATATTTTCTGATGATAGTGGATAGAAAAGGCTTTTTTAAACAAATGAATGTATTCTTATACAGTCATTACTCAAGAAGATGTAACATGATCATTTTTTAGTATTTATGTTGTTCATAGGCCATGTTAATCATTTTCTATTCTTTGCCTCTTAACAGTATTTCTCAAGTCTGTAAAATTGTGTATCTGTGAGGTTCTTAACATCTGTGTGTATTGCATCAGTTTAACAATGCTGCAAAAACGGACAACTAAATTGTTTACAGATCTTCAGGCATTTTGACCTTGATCTTCCCTTATTCTCAGTAATAAATACAGGGTAGTTTTTGTATTCAAGTATGAGTGAAAACTATACAGAGGCGCACAGGAACAAATATTCAGTCATTATGCAGGTAGTGGGCTTTCATACCAAACTTCCACACCAGCACTGGTTTCCCACATACAGGACATACTGCTACTGGAGATGAATAATTCAGAAGTGGTGAAGGGTGAAAACTAGAAAGCTTAAATTAGGATCATAATCTGAATTCTGCTGAGTTTAGAGAGAATTTGAGCCTAGTAAGAGAAAAAGTCTATTTTATGGAAGACAGTATCTGGTTGTTACTGTCTGTAAACCATAAGTGTACATAATACATATGTACTATGATTATTTATGCATTGTGATAAATAACATGCTTAAGTGGTCAGTTAATGTTTTCTTAAAAGCTAGTATTCTATTAAAAGCTATGTGTTTTATTATGTGCAATATCCCACTCGACAGCCAAACTATAAATATTTACTATGTGGTTTTCCTTTCCCAGTATTTTATATACAGCTGCATATTAGGGCTCATTTCCTGTTCCGTTTTTCTGAGGATAAATTATGAGCTGAAAATGGTCATCATGTTGATTGCATTAGTGGGCTACAACGTTATCCTTCTGCACACTCACGGGGCCATGCTGGATGACTACAGCAAATTTATGTATGCAACAGCACCCCTCAAAAGGTAGGTTAATAATCCCCATCATTCTGAAATTAATAGAAATAAAATACCAGCTATGGAAGATGTCATGTAGCATTTTTATTTCTCATGTATTTGGCTCTATAATCTACAAGCCACAATTTAAAATTGTTGTCACTGTTGAGCATAAAAATAAAATACATAAATCTGTGCCAAATGCATAGACCACATATTACAGAAAGTACTGTTTGGTTTAATGAAGGACATTAGCAAACATGGTTTTGAACATTATTAAGGCTCCTAAAGAAAATATGCTGCAAGCTGAATAAAATCAACTTTTTCAGAACTAGTATATTGTTGTAAACTTTACAAATGCAGTCTTAGCCATTGAAAAACAAAACTACAACCAAACAGACCTACGGTTTATTAAATGAACAGAAAGAGATCTTTATTTTCCTATTGGGTGAGTGGTATACCTATGCAGTGGGATGAAGAACCACATGACTAGTTACGTTTATCTTGTACTTCTGGTAGCCTTAATTTTGCCAGTCAAGCTTGTGTGTCTCTTGGTTTTTCCTTCCTAAATCTTTCATCAGTATTCTTCTTTCAGTGGCATCAGTAGTGGAGTGCTAGTGTGAGCTGTTCCCCATTCCTTATAGCATCTTTCCCCAAAGCAGAATTTTTAATAAAAGATCTCATTTGTCCCTATTGTAATTCTGAATGAAAAGACATCTTGGGAGTTAGCTGCCTCAGCATCCATTTCTTCACATTCATTGGATACAAGGTCAAGCTTTCCATTATGGGAGTCATGTATTAAGTAAAAACTGTTTTTAATCTGCCTTTATAGCACCAATCAGTCTTCATTTGCTAACAAAGATGGAAATTATTCTAATTAATCCTCATGTTAGTACTGGACTTCAAAATGTGGGTACATTTGCACAGAATGATGTAGAAGTAAAGTTTCATTATAGAAATCATATTTTGCCAAATAATAAAGCATATGCTGTTTAAGTGGTCACAGTTTACATACCAGAAGGTGACATAAATTGCAGACTTTCCCTTGTTCTTGTGCTGAAGTAATTTTGTTTCAACTTTTGAGCAGCTTGGTTTACTTACATTCCTGTTTTATAGGCCTGGAATACTGAAAGACCTGAAGACAATGGGCTCAATTTCTTTGTTTATATTCTTCGTCACGTTACTGGTTTTGGGTAGACAGGTAAGATGCTCAGTTCTTTCCATCTGCATCAGTGGACGCACTGCCAGCCTCCCGCCTTCTAAGAGATGTTTTAGATTTTCTGACAAGCACCTCTGTTCCTTTTTGCCCCACACCCTTTCAAAGGAGTGTCAGAAACATCTAAAAAGCTATCATTTCCTTTATTGCCTTCCAGTATGTCCTTAAAACTCACCAGTAACTCTGCAATTGCTGTCATTGAGACTGTAGGCATTATGCTGATAGTGCACTGTGACTATTGCTTGTCATGCTGACCAATATTGTCTCATAGCTTCCCAGCGTGCTCCCATCTGTCCACATCCATCTGCTGTCTCCCTGGTTGCTTAATTACAAGCTATTTTCTTCACAGTTATTACCATTTGAGGCAGACACAGAAACAATGTAGCATGCACACAGCAGTGTAGCACCTACTGAGGCCACAGTTGTATTAAAACAGTGAACTGACAGGGATCTCCTCTTTTCATTACCTGGTTGTGCTTTTTAGGTGCTGACGTGGTGTGGGTGGCCTGACACTACTGCATGCTGAGGGCAGGGTGAGGGCAGTTCTCTCTCTCTAGCTCCTCAGAGTTGGAAGCTTGTCATGCCAGGAGTGATGTGATGCACAAGGCAGGGCTCCAAGATGGAGGAGACGAGCCATGTGAGGTCTCATGAACAGCCTGTACACATGTAGCCTGCAGCCTTGGGAAGGTTCTTCTGTCATACTGTCTTTAAATCACTTATTTACATTACAGTTCCCCAGAACTTAATGACTGTCACTTAAACTGTCAAGCAGACCCTCCAGGTTACTAGATAAAAAATTCCTATCTGGCATCTTCTATAGTTTTGCTTAGGGTAACAATCTTGAGTTTGAGTAAAACTCATCATCAGCCTTACTACCAGCACTGTACTGGAGATTGCTCATTTAATGTTAGCTGCAGAGAGTAGTGCTGCAACACAAATATAAATAGGGTTAAATACTTCTTAGCACCACGGAGTCCCCGTTGATCAAGGTGACAGATCAAAGGAGTGGACACGACATCAAGAAAAAATAGAAAAGGATCATGATTTTTACAGAGCAGAGAGTATTTCTGTGTGGGCTCAGTGACATCTGCAGTACAGTTTCCAATCTGTGTACTGCAGCAGTGCATTCTGGTTGCTTCCTGGCTTGCACCTATTGAAAAAATGAGCTTGTAAAAGTAACAGTCTTTTGCTTTCAGAGCTGTAGGTTTGAGATCTTCATCATGATATTGCTTGTTTGTAGATCTTCAGTCTGTTGCCTTTATTTTTCTGCTAGTTTTTTTTTTCTTCTTTAAGGAAGATGAAGGAAAAAAACTGTTTTCAGACATTCTCAAGCAAAGTCTAAAAGGTAACAGATGTTACAAATTAGTTTTAATATATTCGTGAACTAAGACCTGCCATTTTAGGTTACTGCTGGTGATACTGGCTGGTAGTGAATGCCTTGGAGAAAAACAGGAAACTCTTCTTCCAGCAAATTTATCCTGATTTTCCCTCCTGTTCCTCTTGCATTGCCAAAATCTGTGCCAAGCCCATGTTTTAACTCTACTGTGAAAAGAGGATAAGGAAAGAAGTGGGACTAGAGGAGGAATTCCTGATGTGCAGTGTCTCTGCTGCTTCTGGTGTGGACCATCGCCTCTGCCACTATCTCTGGCATTCCGCTGCTTCTCAGCTCTTCTTCTGACTACTGTTTGTATTATTTTAGAGGTAAAAGGAGCAAGGAGTGGATGCACTGTAGATTTGGACAGTGATGGAAAGCTGCTTTCTGTCTGTTCTAAATTGCTTTTCTAGTAATGTCTACAGTAACATTGTTTCTCTAGTAGTGTAAGAGTTTAACAAGGCCAGTTTTTATAAAGACAGGCATTGTCTTTTGGATATATATTTTAGATCAGCTGGTTAAATTAGAAAACTAGACAAACATTTGGATAGATTCTTACCTATTACTCCTGTTACTTCTACTATTTTAGACAACTTTTCAACCTTCACAAATTGATGATAAGGAATAAGTAAAATTCCCGTATCCCAAAAAGCACACAGCAAAACTTACATTACTTTTTCACATTAATGGTTTCCCATCCTTTCATCTGCCTTTCAAGAGAAGTGATGAATGGCATTTATTCTGCACGCTTTTCCCCTAGATACTGGACATGTCTCATCTCAAATGTATTTATGGAAATTGGAAGAAACCAGTACAGCGTTACTCACTAGCATCTACTTGGGCAAACATGTTGAAGGGAAGAACATTTTTCCCAAAATGACAGTAGTCTCTGACATTGCAGTTTGTGTTCTCAAGGGCAAAAAATCTGGGAAATAGTGTTCCCAGCTGTCATAGGGCAGCAAAACTCTTGGATTTAGTAGGCTGATTTTATGGTCTGTTGCAGTCTTCCTCTTGCTATAGTTCTGGTCGAGTCCTTTCCTAGTTCTGCATCCTTCTTCCACAGAGGGTAATATGCAAATCATTTTTCTCTTTGTTACTGCATTTTTCAACTTTGCAGATAATAGCTTTTCTTTTCTTGTCTCTTAGTACTTGTATGTTTTAAGAGTGTTAAAGACAATAGCCACTAATAAGAAGGGGTATTCCTTCCACTTCCCTTCTCCTGGCACTGGTGCTCCTCTGCCCCCAGGGCAAGTTATCAGAAAGTTCACCTAAACAAAATGTGAGTGTTTTCCTATAACCCAGCCCCATGAGTTTCCTTGCTGCTGGGTGATGCAAAAGCAGCAGAAAGAATCCATGTATGGTGGAATGGAGGTGGAGGGAGGCAGCACTAGTGTATCAGCACACCTTCTATGAGCAAACTTAACTCCCAGGTTCAGGTAATACTCTTAGATGCACAACCATGATTCCTGCTGAAAGAGCTAGGACCTTCCAAAATAGGGTCTGGCTTAAAAATCAGCCCTGGAAAAATGGTTGGTTTTTAGCCAGATCATTTTGCTGAGCGTTTTTTGTGGTTTGGAGGCATCAATGCTTGTGCCCAAAGAATAATTGTAGGATGGGCATGAGGTGGAAAAAGTAGAATTGCTTTTCTTTTCCATGGTCATGTCAGCATAGGCTATAAGTGACACATTTCAGTCTGCATACATGCCATCTAAGTTCTCTGAAACAGTCAGGCAGCACACAGGCAATTCTCTCCAACTCTGCCTGAAAATATAGAGTGTGCTCACATTTAAGCCTTAAACATTGTGAATTACCAGTATTGATGTAGCATGTGAATTTTTTTCTTATCTTTATATAATATTACATAGACCTGGTTAGTCTTTGAGTAAATATTTTGCTTCTCCCAAAATTGATTATAATGTGTTTATAAACACTGAATTTCACCGGCTGTTTTAGTGTCCAGATGTGTGTGGCAGTGAAAACTGTTTGTAGTATCTGTTGTGATTTTTAGCCAAGAGGTTTTATTCCATTATTTTTTTTTTCCTTAGGTACTGTAATCTTTTAAAAAGCCTCTTCTGAAAAAAATTGATGAATATTTATTTGGAAGTTCACTTCTATTCACAGACCATTGGTGTATTTGTGACAGATGGAGGCGTGTTTACGTAGGCTGTATCAATAATTCCTCATTATATCAGCGTTAGATAACGTGTCTAAATAGCTCCTTAACACACCTTTGTCTGTGGTTCTCAATGTCACCTCAGTTCTCTTCCAAAGGTTTCCAAAATTTGGACATTTGTCAGTTCTCCAACACATTGGAGGTTTTGAACAATAAGGCAATGCACCACAAATTTCAGAGCAGCAGCTTTTCATTTCAGTTACTTTTCGTGCTGGTGACTTCCTGCTGATTTACTTACAAATATGCTGTAAGAAGACACTTCTACTAATGCTCCATACTGAAACAGTTCCTCAGACTTACTGTCTGTAAGTAATGGCTATGGAATTTTCTTAACTTCCTCACCTGAATGATAACCCATTTGTTATTTTCTGGAAGTGATTTTACCTGCATTAGTATTACTGTCATTGTGCCCCTTCAGCACGTGTGCATCTCCTGTGACTACACACATGGATGACACAAACTCATGAGCTGTTTGTTTTGGCTTTCTGTGTAACTTTCTATAGCAATGAGAGAAAGTTCATTCAGTTAGTTGCCTCATTCTGAGACAAATACTGAAAATAGGTTCGGGTGAATATTGCATAAGAGTTTAGAAATACAGACCTAGCCACCTCTGCCTCATCAGACATAAGTCCTAAGTCAGTTTTTGATACACCCAACTGCTTTTGCCCAAGAACAAGTTACCACTGATCTGAACCTCTGGGGTTCATTGCCTTACATGCTTTGATATCACGCCTGCCTATGGATGAAAGCCATTCTGAGATATTTTCGTGGTGAGATGTTAAAAAGGTTCTGTAGATTACATGTAAAATAGGAAGAAATCTTGGCTTTCAGATGACTGTAAGGCTTCAAAGTTTGAGAAGGGTCTTCAAAGATGTTTAAAGTAAATTGGGTATATTGCACAAACAAAAAAAACCTAACAATCTAAAATAAGCTTTACTAAGATAGGGCTTACGTGTTTCTAAAAGTGTAAATACGCATTTTGAAATAACCTTTGACATTTTTAATTACAAGTCAACTTGTAGGGTACCTTCTGCTTTTTTTCCCCATTTTCTGAGTTCTCTTTGACATTTGTTTTTGTATCCTGTATTTCAATGCATAACAAAAATGTAAATACATTATCTCCTTCATATTATCTCCTAAAGAAGAAACATCATTCTGAAGACTAAGCTTATCTCAGTTTGTTTTCAGTACAAATTGGATACAGCGTATGGATACCTAATTGCTGTTTTAAGCCATGTGTCCACTTTACACAATTTATGCAAATGATTTTGGCATGCCAGTGTTTTATTGGATTTTTTCTACATGAAGACAGTTTATTGGATTTGTTCTGCATTAATGCATATGTGGTGGCATTAAGTTTATCATCTTTGTGGGGAACTTGAATATATAAATATTAATAGAAGAATAAGAATTTTCTACGAAAGTGACAGCATATATTTTGAATCTCATGATCAGCTTTGAACAAAAGCTGTTCATGACCTCAAGACTTACAAGAGAGAGAACTGCAATTTGGTACCAGAACAATGACAGAACACAATGACCAAAGCAATGACAGTTCTGTTTCCAAGTTCTAGCAGAAGCCTGTTTTCAAGTTCAGTGTCTTCCTTCATGCGTGTCTTTATATGTATTTAAGTTGTGCCTTCTCTTCATTTGCTTAAAATCTGCGAATAACCTTTAGTAACATAATTAATTGAAAATAGCCAGCTTGCTTGCTTATTTGACATACCAAGTCCAGACTTCTGAGGCAGAGCATGATCGGCTATAAGACATTAAGACCCACTTTATGTTCAGAACAGTGTTAACTTTGTGTTAGAAGAGCCAGAATCTCTCTGTGGCAGTTCATTTGAGGCGTGCATTCTATCCTTCCTAGTATATCATAAGAAAAGAGATATACTTATATTCCTAGTATACCACAAGAAAATAAAATCACTAAAGGATGCTGTGGTATGAATTATCCTTTTTTTTTTTTTTAATTTTCCCATTAAATATCTAAACAGTACCCAGGTCTTATCAACCAATTTAAAGCAATGTGTGGAGGTGTGGTTTCTCTCTTAATATTTTTTTTCATCCTGCAGTTTCTCAATGGATCCATTTTTTGCTTCACCAGTTCTAAATTCCGTGCTTTTTAGAAGCTTGCAAAATTCATTTCAACTTCCTGCACTATCTTTGGCTGTGATCTCAACAAAGTACTCGTGAATCATTTTGAGCTATGACAGCAAACATCCAGTCACAAGGACTACTGTCATGTTTTTATTTAAACACTTACTGGCTGCTAGTAATAATGGCTAGTATTTTCAGGATTTTACATAAGATCGTGAACATAATCATGTTCTCCTGATTAATAACTCAGCCTTCATTCAGGCTGCAGGGTAGTGTTAAGCCACTGAACTGCACTGAGATATTGACTTACGTCAGCTCCAAAGATGTAGGCCAGTGGAGTCTTTAATGTAGAAATAATGGTATAGAATTCACCAAAAAGCCTTGAAATTATTGAAAAGAAGTGCAGAAGTGCACAAAAAATGTAACCAGATCTTCAAAAATACTAATATTTCAAGATTTTTATACATTTATATAATGAAAACTGAGGTACAACAAGAAAAGGATAGAATCATAGAATCACAGAATGTAGCATTATATATATTTTTAAAGAGAAAATCAGAAAGCAACAAGATGGGCCATTTTTTATAGTCTTCAAAACATTCCAATTTAAAAATCTCTTGTTATTCTAAAGCAGTAGCATTTTTGCTGTGTGCATACTAAAAGGAGAAAGTTTGTCTCTTGAACAACGAAGGTGTATCAGTAGGCTAAATTTTTTTCTGCTACCCTTTTTCTTTTCTATCAGAAAATTAGCATTACATAAGTTAAAGCTGGTGAAAGTTAGGGTCTTCCTGAAATACCCACTAGCATAAGTAAAATTCTCTTTAGATAAATTAGATACTATATTGCAGAACTGCAAATTATTTCCATAACAGTGTTTGATTTGTAGAGTGAATTTCTTCGAGAACGTGAGCGTACGTAAGGAAATCTTCCTTTGTTTCAATGACCCTGCAGCTTTTGGCTTATTTCTGAGCTTTTTTCTTTCCCCCCCCTTTTTTTTTCTTTTTTTTTTTTCATGGTGGGGAGCATTTATAAATTCAATGAAATGTGTACCATATGGTGCGTGCTTGGGGGTTAATTTCTGTGGAATCTGGAATTGTACTTGAGTGGCCAAATAATATCCTTGTAAAGGTGATGTACTGTGTTTATTTTGTCTCTTAAACCTGTACTCCAGCAGGACAAGATGCCGATTGTTTCTTTACCTCTGTGTCCTCTTGTAACAGAATGAATATTACTGTAGGTTAGACTTCCTGTGGAAGAACAAGTTCAAAAAAGAGCGGGAGGAGATTGAAACCATGGAGAACCTAAATCGAGTGCTTCTGGAGAATGTGCTTCCAGCCCATGTAGCTGAACACTTCTTGGCAAGAAACCTGAAGAACGAGGTCAGCCATCTCTGTATATTCTCTGTTCTGTCCAAAGGCAGTGTATTTTAGAAATAGCACTTCATGCTGAGCTGAACAGTAGGTCCATACAGTCAGATTATAGATTTACAGTCATTTTCCTTCCCCCCTGCTTTTCTGAGCACTGAATCACCTTAGTACCTTGAAGTAAAAACTGTGAAACTGTTTTAAGTGGCAGTACACTTTGCCTTGTGGCAGAGGAGGAAAATGGGGAGAAAATGAAAAGGATAATTGAATCCACAAGGATTTAAATTTGAAGCATATGTATTGAGATACATTTTTCTTTGTGATCAGAGTGGAGCTGCATCCAGGTTTTGAAATTGCTTGTGGTGACTGGAGACCTTGCTTATAAATGTGAAAATTAACCTCTTCCCTGAAACAGTGGCTGTATTAATTCTGGAAGGAGGTGCTGAACACTGAAATAGCTATTTACTTACGGACAGCAGACTTAATCCACGCTTTAGAAATGTCTACCAAAAGACTCTTGTTGACTTAAGTGGGAGTCAGATCTACTCCTAATGCTGCTTTGTAGTTTTAACAATGGAAAAAATGATAAAAACAAAAGAAAAAAAGCCAGACAGATTAAGAGGGAGTAGTAATTTCTATATATCTTAAATGCAACAGTTAGAATTACTTAAGCATAAAACAATTGTTCCAAAACAGACAGAAGAGGGGAGGGGATTTATTTTGATCTCCTGAATAGAGAAGGATAACATTTTCCCTTTCACTGTGGTTTTTCACTAAGCAGTAATATAATGTAGTTTACATCAGTACTTTAGTACTACCTGTAAACATTCACTTGATAGCTAATGTTGAATGAAAACTGCTGTGGGGTTCCTTTGAATCCAGTGAAGATGTTGGCTGAAAGCCAGGTTGGCTCAGCTCCGGCTTTCAGTTCAGGCATTAAACACAGCAAACCATCAGGAGATTGCTTTCTCATTTATGTGCTATTCCATCTCTGCTCCCCAGCAGAGCAACACCATCTGCTCACCCTTGTATTGGCAACTGGATTTATATTGTCATCCCTCAAGATTCTTGGGTTGAAATGAGCTTCAGTAAATTTAGTGAAGATGAAAAATGGTAGTCTGCTGAACTCTGGTTTCATGTCAGCTAAAATAAAAAGAAGTTGATGTGATTTTAGTGGCATCCCATTTAAAAAAAAAAAAAAACCTTGAGTTTGCTTTGTTTATCTTTAAACACAGTTTTCAAAGAAGCAGCAACCTCACAAATCCTTGGAAATATTAAGGAATATGAACATCAGTCACGTCTTGTCTTAGAATCTGCAAGGACATGTCAAGCATTAAAGCAGATTCAGTATGTTTGTTTTTTTATGTCTGAACACCTAAAAATAGATGACAGCAGGTCAAATCTTGTTTTATTTCTGTGGATGTTTAGATAATCAGATAATGAATTGAAATTTGTCTGCATCTTCCTCCGAGGCAAACACTCAATAAGGCTATATATATACTGTTGTCTATCTAATGGATGAATGTTACTTGTCCCAGAATTTTTTGCATGCAGTTGTATGAAGGAAATGGAAGACTAAGTATGCTGCTGAATGAAATGCTTCAGGAATGAAAGGGAAGAAAAAAGTGTGGATAAATGCTAACTGAGAGTACTAAGATTGTACTTTCAAAAAAGCAATTAAGGTCTTTTCATAACAGCACATAAGTTGAGTAATGTTGATGTGGTGAAAGTGAAATTATTTCAAAGCAGGTAAATGTAGTAGAAGTATGTTTGCTTTATCAGTCTCCAGAATTGGATTTTTTGCTTATTGACTGTACGCTGGATACCAAATAGGGTACTTTCCAGTTGACAGACAGAGGAACAAACATAAAACAAAAAGCAGGAAGCAGGGTTCTTCTGCAGCTGGCTTCTGCACCCTTCTCCTTTGTGCTGTAAGCATTCAGCTTCCCTATTACTAAGAAGCACTCAGGAAGCTTTCTTGCTGCGAGCTAACTTGAAAGCATGTTGCTGAGTTGAATACCAAGAGTAATCCTGTTTCATTAGCTGCAGAATGGAGCCAGCAGAAATTGTGCCCCAGACAAGCCAACTGCTGTAGCCTTCCATGAGCCGTATGGGGTGGGGACCAGTTGGCCTCCTTCATCCTGAGAAGGTCTGCACGTACTGAGAAGATGGGACAGTATAGAAAGCTTACCAGGAAGAATTCAGAAAAGAAAAAAAAAGAAAGAATTAATGGTAGAAGAGAGGGTGATTTTATTTGTGCTGAAAGAATGCAATTCCGTCCTGGAATTATATTGCATTTAATTTTCTGATTAAACATTTTGGAGAGTACTCTTTCATGCGAAATGCTCAAAGGAAAATTAAGACACCTGATTACCATAGCCTTTATTATTATGAATGATTGCAATAAACTAGCGGGGAATGTCTGCTTAAAATTGCCTGACATTTATTATGACAGCTGCAATTACCACTCATGGTTCTAAACAGTGCCATTTGTTGTTTCTATTCTGGTACTACGCTACAAAGCATTAGTAGGGATGGATGTTGCCTTACTGTTAAAGAAGAAGGAAGAGAAATGGGATGCTGTTGCTGTGCTTCAACATGATTAGTGTTCATATACAATTCTGTGTACTTGTTTTTGAGGTGGAGGAAAGAGTGATAACTCTTTAGAGGAAAGGAGGATTTCTCTTTGTAACACTAGGGCATGCAGTCCTTGTTTACAAGCTGTTTGTCCCTTGCTGCCAGCCAACAGTGTACAACACACTGACCCTTTCTGTGTCACAGCAGCATTTCTGTTCCCATCTATGTTCCTGTTTTTTGGTTACTCGTATCATTTTCCTTGTGATTGTGCATCGTGCAAGTTGCCATGATTTTTTCTGGGCTACACCTGCTTTCTGGGAAGACAGCAAAGGCACTTCCTAATCGCTAATGCCATCTGGGCTCTGCGTTTACGTTCTTCACTGGCAAAGAAGGCAGGCATTGCCATGCATCAGTGATTCAGTAACCTGCCTGGCCCAGGCACTAATCTTCAGCAGAAGTTCTAGAAGCAGCTGCACATTAATATATTATTCACCCATTCTGCTTTTGCATTTTGTAAATGTTAGGGCATATTTTCCTTCTGCAAAAACCTACTAAACACTTCATAGTTAGATATTTTTCTAGTATTCCCATAAATACTAAACTTTTTAATCCCCCAAGCTCCTGTCTTTCATGTTGGTAAATAGCAACAAGCTATACATACATATATATACACATATTTTTTTTTCCTTATTCAACCTGTAAATTTCTTATTTGTCTTCTGGTTCCTGAATTATGGAGTGGTAAGAAGAATCAGTTTTGTATCACTTGTGTTTCATATACATATCCAGAGAAGGATAGCAAAGCTGGTGAGGGGTCTGGAGCACAAATCTTATAAGGAGTGGCTGCGGGAGCTGGGGTTTGTTTAGTCTGGAGATGAGGAGGTTCGGGGAGACCTTATCCCTCTCTACAACTCCTTGAAAAGAGGTTGTAATGAGGTGGGGGTCAGCCTCTTCTCCCACGTAACTAGCGATAGGACTAGAGGGAATGGCCTTAAGTTGCACCAGGGAGGTTCAGGTTGGATATTAGGAGCAATTTCTTCTCAGAAAAAATGGTGAGGCAGTGGCACAGGCTGCGCAGGGAGGTGGTGGAGTCACCATCTCTGGAAGTGTTCAAGAAATGTGCAGATGTGGCACTGAGGGATGTAACTTAGTGAGCACATTGGTTGTCAGTTGAACTAGATGATCTCAGAGGTCTTTTTCAATCTTAATGATTCCATGATTCTACGATATTATTTAGTAGTATGTTTTTCTTGATCATATCTCTATGTAGATGGTTTCCTTTCCCTCTAAGGGTTCACTTCTAGGACGTAACAGGCATGAGTTATTATGAGTTGAATTTATATTCTCAGGTAAGTCATGGCATTCACTTCTGTGTACTGTTTCAAATAAGATGGCCTCTGTGACAAACTTTTCACAAACTTTGTAGCCTGTATCTATGAGCAATTCCTTCAGATTTTACTTTCTTAGGATGCAAAATCAGTGGGATTCAAGAAAGTAAACAAAACAGAAAACTGCTATCTAATGTTAATTTGATAAAATAAAACAAACCTTTACTATTAATTTACAGAATTGCTAGGATAATAGCATTGTGTATTAATGTTAGTGGCAGCATTACTGTTAATTTGGATGGATTTAATTTATTACATTTGTAAAGATGATAGGAATATTTATTTTGTTAGGTCAAGTTTCAAAAGTATATGTAATACCCACATTTTGAATGTTAATTATCTGCATTCTTTTGTGAGTGTTCTCATATCTCCCTCTGGTCTTCTGTATAACACTGTGAATTTCTCCTTCCGTTGCCAAGCCCTGTATTTTTGGTGCAATTTCTTCCCAGTTTTTAAAAAAATATGTGTAGCCTAGATTCCTTCATCCAGCACTGAAATCAAGATACTGGGAAGGTGACCTGAGGAAATGGAAGGAAAAATGAGATGAACAACATCATGTAACTTCTGTGCCTATTCTGCTAAATTAACCTAAGATGAGCACTCAGCATACCAGATTTTAAGTTTTGAATTTATTTAGAAGCAAACACTACTGTAGCTTTAGTGTAGACATGCCTGAGGTAAATTTGAAGTAGGTAGATGTGAACCAGAATGCAAAGGCTAAGTATTTGAGGAGCAGGTCTATAAATTTTTTCTGATGTTCCACTTCACTAATTTTGAGCTAGTTTGAGTGCAAAGACACTCAAGAGAGCAGCTGGTACACATCACTTCAGTGTTACAGAGTCTGGACCTGCGTTAATGTGTAAAGAGAGCATAGAGATGCTCAGGTCCCTCTGAAATGCTTAGAGTCAGAGTCATCCTGTATAGTTTCAGGCACCCCTCTTGAGTCCTTGCATTAGGAAAAGTGACCTCCATTTTTTCCTTATATCCAAGAGAGAGAAGCACTGTCTGAAAAGACTGTGCCTGTCTGGCAGTAAAATGACTTTCCAGATACACTTGTCCTAGAATGTCACTAGCCATTATACATAAGATGACATAGACACAGACGTAAGATGATTGTGCTCTCAAATGACATGCTTTATCTAGGTGTATTACTCAAATTCAGTTGATATCATCTAGCCAGCGGACTCTCCTTTCCCCTGTATTATTGTATGAATTAAATTGATATATTTTTTTTATATATAGACTTGAACACTGAAGGAGGAAATACACAAATTAATCCAATGTTTATGGGAATGGAACAAATAGATGACAGAGAAGTATTGCCAGTGTACTGGTTCTTTTCAATGGGCAGGATGCTTGAGGAGTTTCAAGGACATTGTGATTATATAATCCTTATGAAATAAAAGGGAAGAAAAGTCTTAGAGTGAACAATCTAGCTTCTCCAACTGCTCGTGTTCCTGTCTGTCTGTCTCACACCTGTTCTGGGCTGAGACAGTCAACAAGCTTTACCATTTACCATGACCAGTTCTGCTATTTTTCAGTTAACATCACCAACTTTGATTCACCGTGTCTGTGCACACTCATGTAGATTCACCACATTCTTTAAAAAAGGAAAGAAATATACTGCAAGCAAAATTGAAAAAACAAACTTTGGACAAGTAAAGAGGGAAAAAATATCTGATCCTTCTTGAAATTATAGAATATTCATCTTATTCACAAGAATATTGAAATCCATGCTCTACTCAAATACCTTTAACGGAATTTGGCATTATACTATTATTATTATATTATTATTAATATTATATATTATACTATTATATTATTATTATTATTCCTTATTATTGTGGTTACCTTTGTGTATGGATTTCCATACTTTTTTTATTAGTTTAATAAATAGTCCTTCTTTTCTTTTTTCAGGACATAAATTTGTCCTGAAAGCAGAGAGATTCTAATGATAGAGGACATTGGAAAGGAAACTGAGGGAAGGGATAAGGGGATTTGTTTTTATCATCAGAGGTTTCCTGTGGAGCAGAGGTGCTCTCATTTCAGTGCTCACAGAATGCTATGGAGAATGTGACACATAAGTAAGTTTAAGTTCAAGTGACTGATTTATCTCGTTAAGCCCCTTGTTATGGAAAAGAAAGGACAATTATTTTGTCCTATTAGGCATCTTGTCATTTTAGATTAGGATCTGTCAGGGTTGTGTCATATTATGCTTTTGTAGTGCTCTACTGTTGAGATTTTGCTTCAATTTTTTAGTTCTTTCTAGTTATTATAATGATACAGCTAATAAAAAATTAGAGACTGTTTTGCAAAATATAGTCTCAACCATGCAAGCCAAACCAAATTCACTACAAATCTCAAAAGTTATCCCTATCTAATAAATCAGTGAACATTTTATACTTACTGAGCAAATGTTCAGGCGGAAAAAAGGAGTAACTGTACAACACCAAAAAATTTTCAGCTATGTTGACTATGTTTAACAAGTCTGTATGGTGCTTAAAGATCAGTAAATGCCTCTAAATGCAAAAAATACTAGAACACTGTTTTAAAAGTTTCCATGCATGGCGCCGTCTTCCTTTTCAGAACTGGGTCACTGCCTATTATCATAGAACCTTCTTTAGAGCTGGGTATAACAAGTTTCTTTTCTCTTTTTTTTATTTTCTTTTGGACAGGATCTATATCATCAGTCATATGACTGTGTCTGTGTCATGTTTGCCTCTATTCCGGATTTCAAGGAATTTTATACAGAATCTGATGTAAATAAGGAAGGCTTGGAATGTCTCAGGCTGCTAAATGAGATCATTGCTGACTTCGATGATGTATGTACTTCTAACAACAATCAACATATGGTTTCAATCGTAATAACTCAGGGTATGCAACAGTAAGCAAACATACTTGAAAAGGAGAGTGGAAGAGCTGTCAGAAAAGAACTTTTGTATGTCTGGTCATGTAGAAATTGTTTCCAAAGAATATTAAAGGAAAAAGAGATTTATGTGGAATAAATGAACTATTGATCTGACATCATATTCTGTTGCTTTTCAGTCTCTATAGTGAGAATCCAATGCATATACATGATGGGGAAATTCTGCCCTTTATCTGCAGTTCACAAGGCACATTACATGCTGTATATTAACTGTTCCCAAATACTAATGCCAAAGGTAAAGTACCTAAGTTTGTGCCCTAAACTTTTACATCTTCGGAGAGCATCCAAAGCAGGATGTGAAGGTGCTGAAGAGTCTGAGAGCAAGATGTATGGAGGATGACTAAGGCCACTTGATTCAGCCCAGAGCAGCAGAGGCTGAGAGGAGGCCTCATGGGAGCTGCTGCTCCTCACGAGGGGAGTGGATGGGCAGCGTTGAGCTCTGCTCTCTGGTGACAGTGACAGAGCCTGAGGGAACAGCACAGAGCTGTATCAACGGAGGGTCAGGCTTGAGATTAGGAAAAAGTTCTTCACGAAGAGGGTGGTAGTTGGGGACCAGAACAGGCTCCCCAGGGCAGTGGTCACAGCCCCAAGCTGCAGGAGTTCAAGAAGCGTCTTGATGATGCTCTCAGTCATATATCTGATTTTTGGGTGGTCCTTTATGGAGCCAGGATTTGGATTTGATAATACTTGCAGGTCATTTCCATGATTCTATAACCTGCATTGTTTTGATTATACAACATGTTGATCAGTTGGTATGTGAATCACTCCTAGGAATGTATAGGTTATAACATTCCACTCTCCAAGCTACAGGCAAGTGCAGAGTGTATAACTACAGACTGTGAAAAGTCATATCTAAAGGTCTCACTGAGAACAGTATTTGTCTTCAAGTTGCTGGTGATAAAGATACCCAAAGAAGGTGTTAAGAGTGTGTCATGATTCAGAGAACACAGACTGGATTTGCAGTTCTGCAGCTGTGGAGGGAGTTTTAGCAGCAAACCCATTTTGATAACTTTGGAATGTTCAAAACAACCTGGGTTATGAATTAGAATTCTTACCATCTCAACTAGAAGAGATGCTTACTTTCAGAAAGCTGCTTGCGGCTTAACCATTGGCTCGCCAAGTGATTTGGTTCCACTATCAAATGAGTGTAAAGTCTACTGATTTTTAAGAGCTAAATGGACAGTAAGATGAAGTTCAGTCTCACTAATGAAAATCTAGTCCCTTTATGATAAAAGGGTATTTTAGGAGACATGATTTCCCTTTTTCTGGGAACTATTCCTGTATCCATTTTTTTGTCCATCCTTAAGGCCATCCTGTATATATTTGTGAATTAAAGTACTGATCTCTTGAATTCTGTTAGAGAAACAAGCACTTAGACTAAGAATGCTGTTGATCCCAATAATGAATAACTGTTCTCGTTTTCCAGTTATTGTCTAAGCCAAAGTTCAGTGGAGTTGAAAAGATAAAGACCATTGGAAGCACATACATGGCAGCAACAGGATTGAGTGCTACGCCCAACCAAGAACAGTATCAGGTACAGAAAAAAGTTCATGCTCAATAAAAATCATGCTCAAGTAAAGCCTAAAATTCTGTTCATTAAACAGCAGCCTACATATAACACTCTGGCCTCAATTTTATTTCTTACTGATCAAGTGTACGCTTTTATTTAGAAGTTTCTGAATTATTTTTTTTCACATTGCAGTTCTAAAATGCTGCCTCTTATTTGTTATGTCTAAATTTGGCCTTCTACTCTAAATATAATTCTGCATTTTATTGCTACATGCTGCAGCAGAAGTAACTGAACTTAGAGTCCAAAGGAGAGTGTTGGGATCACTATTTTCCTTTGAAAGTTGAGAGTGCAGGGTAGCCTTATTAACCATACACTTAAAGAACCTTCAGGCTCAATGCTTAAAGCAGATTCCTTTGTTTCTGATTTATTTAATGTAGTAGGATTGAGAACTGTGTGCAGTCAGTAGAAATGAAGTTCAGAGAAGCAATTCATAACTTTGAAACAAAAGCCTTCATCAGATCACTGGTGAGCAACAGAGACAGCAATAATGAATCAGTATGTTCCCTGATAAGGATTAACGTCGCCTGACAAACTCATGTTCCTTCTAAAGAGAAGCAATTAACACCTGAACTAGACCTTAGTAATCCTGAGGACAAAAAAAGAATAATTTCAAATTAGCCCTGACATTCTGTACAGGGAGGTGAAGAAAATGAAGCAAATGTAAGACCATAGATTGGAGAACACATAGAGGAGTTCTTAACCACTAGTAAATTTAGTGTGTGTGCTGCAAGAAATTGTATTGTTTGAGTTATTTCTGCAAATTATAAATCAGGAGATCCAAGTCTTAGTGTTCCTTTGGTGATTTAGTACACATTTTGAAATCCATCAAATCTTAGGTCTCTTCAGTCCAGATGCTGCAGATCCACAGATACTGCCGTACCTAGTGTGACAATGACTGCTAGGCATATTGCTGAGCACAGCCCCCGTTTCAATACAAGAACTCAGGGAAGACTAAGTGCCTAAAGACAGGGTCTCAATGTATCAGCTAGGTATGATACCATCTGTCTTAGCTAGGAGTGATCTCCAAAGGAAACAGAAAGGCTTAATTCATCTAAACAACAGCTGTGGCAAGAGCTGCTGTCCCACCAAGACTGATATATGTACTCTATGAATCATCTTACAAAGTTGTCATCTGTCCATCAGCTCTGAAACTTTATTTCAAGGAAGATTCAGTCATTTCTTATAGAGATCAGTAAGTCTAACTCTTAAGAAATCATTCTCTTGCCAAAATCCTATCCAGGGCTGTAGGAGCTTGAAAATCACTTCTCTCCTTAGCCTAAGAGGACTCAAACCAGTGCTTAGAATCAGGCTACACTGTTAGTATATGATAAAACATTAAGTCTATAGCCTTAGAAACTAATGTGCACCCTGGAATAGCAAATTATTGAACAGGGAATGGGTTGTCTTTCCCCTCTGTTCCTCCTGCATTTTGTTCATTTTCAGGTCTATTACAGTTCCCAGATATGCCTCCTTATCCATCTGCCAGATGAGATCAGCTGAGAAACTATTAAAACTGAATCTCACTGGAATGTAAGCATTAGCAAGGGTGCTGAAAAGTGCAGCAGTGAGAGGGAGGAGTCCCTGTGGGGCTGACCACAAGCACCACTTATTATTAAGAGACATAAAGCAGAAGCAGACACTCAGAGAAAATTAATGTACAAATCCTTGGCATGCATAGGCAGTGAGTGCTGGTAGAACAGATAGTGGCTAATCAGTTGCTTGACAGTCAAAATTTTATATTGAGTATGTTTTGAATGTATCAACTCTATACTGCCTTATCATATAAGTAAAGCGCAACATGGTCTATTGGCCATTGTTTGATTGAAGTGCTGCTGGAGAGGACATCATCTTATACATTAGTTTTCTGCTGCAGCCACCCTGGTGTTAGGATATCCCTGAGAGTTTAAGTGCTTTTGTGTTCAGGGTATTTTGGATGTGTTCTCACAGGAACTAAAGCTACATAAAAATGATTTTATTCTGTTTGTTTGGCAATTCAGGAACCTGAACGACAGTATATGCACATAGGAACCATGGTGGAGTTTGCATTTGCCTTAGTGGCGAAACTGGATGTCATAAACAAGCATTCTTTTAATGACTTCAAGTTACGAGTAGGTATGTATTTTTGAGAATATGGAAGAGGGGGAGAATGTAGTGTGATGTTCAAGCAGATTAAAGCATTACTAGAACTAACCAACAGGGCCAGGAAAGTAGATGGCATCACCTTTACCCTGCTTAAAGGCAGTGTCGATGGCTTTGCCAGTGAGCACAGCTGCTGCTGTGGCAAGATGTGTTTCAAGGCAGGAACTCAGAAGAAGCAGCATCACTAAATAAAGAATGCTTGGAAAATACAGCCCCGTGGGTCCAAGTGGTTCTATGGTAACTGTAATAATTATTCCAGATGTTGTTGACTATATACATTTTTAAAGCTTTTCAGTACCAAAGGAGATACTAGGCAGGGCTTTGCAAAACTATGTGAATGACTTTGGAGGACAGCACCTAAAAGGCACAAATGAGGCTGGAGTTTGAAATACTTTAGACGTACTAAATTCAAGCAAGCATACAGTAATGCTTCCTTCCTGCTGTTTAACACAGGAGGATATTTCACTTATTTGTTATTCTGTGTTTATTGACAAATAAGAGCAAAGATGTCCAGCTGTTGATATTCATTAGGATATTTATTCTATCACTTATATTTCAGCTTCTTATTGCTTCCCTTTGTGCTCCACAGCATTAAAAATAAATAAATAAATACACAGTTGCAGTAAGTCATGGGAAGGATGATGAAATAAATGAATTCAGATCTGATCAAAAACCATATGCTCCAAGATGCTTATTTCCTGATCGCAGTACATAGCAGTTTTACAATGCAATATGTAACTTGGAAAGTGTGAAATGAAAGCATTAAATAAATGCTGGATACCCACAAATCTTATAAACATGACTGAAGTATCCAACAGTTGTTCTCCTTCCTTGTTTTTATTGCTGTGCTGCTTGCTTTTCTTCTTGCTTGGTCTTACATTTATTTTACAGTGCCACCCACTGGTTCTGCTTGCTACTTTCTGACCTTCCTTTTTGTTTCATATTCATTGCCATAGTTAAAAAATGAGAAAGCACATCTGAAGTATGCCCCATCCTCGTTGTGTTCCAGAACTTGATGAGTTTATAAAAAATGTGTAGAGATAGTATATTTTTGTACAGAATAAGAGTTCTCTTTGTGCCATATATAATGCTACATACTTGCTAACAAAGTGTTATGTCAATATACATACTGAAACTGCAAACTGATTATATCAATGCTGACTCTTATCAAGTAGGGATTAAGAGGTGAACCTTCTAGGGGAAAAACATACCTACTTGTGATTTAAAAACATTTGCTGGATGCTCTGTAGAAGTTATACTCATTTGCTTCATGAAATAAAGAACAGGAGAAAAAAAAAAAAGTAAAGATTACACTATGTCAAAAGCTGCTTTTGTAGCATTAAGCACTAACAGAGTTTGCCTGAAAATCATTTTTTGTGTGTGCAGAATGAATTAAGATGAGTTAAAGAGAGCGTAAAGTGCCTGATGGTTTTTGAGCAGTCTTTTGTGGTTGTTCTGCATCGTGTTTTCTGGACTGCACACAAACTGTCTGTTTTCCAAGTTCTAGCCACCATATAATAAAAAGGATAAAAGAAAAAAAAAAAAAAAAAAAAAAAAAAAAAGGAATAAATCTTGTTTGCCAAATCTTAAGAATCTTATGACAGGGCTGTTGCTCAGGGTTTTGTTTCATTGGTTGGATTAATTAATTTATTAATTTATTTATTTTTGCTAAATGAGTCTAAAACAATCTCTGAGAAAACTAAAGAAATAACATGTTCCAAATGGAGGGTAACAAAAAAACCAAAAAGCAGCAGCAAAGATTAAATCTTCAAAGGTACACAGGTCCCAGACTGGCACTTTTGCCACCTTAACACACTATAGACATCACTGAGTTCTTCATGCCAACATCCCACCACCACTTATGGTTATGAAAGCACCTGATATCCATAGCAACTGCAACCACAGAAATGCATCTTCCTCTGATGTAATCCCCACTTTAAGGACTTAAACCCAAACTGCCATTTGTAAAAGCTTTTCTCAGCCAGCATTCAACCCTAAAATGTTTGCAGCTCACTTGACATGTTGGTTTTCAACCTTAATTTGCTGTAAATGCCAAAAAATGCTAGTTGTGCCTTGGGAGGTACATAGCCTGATGTTCTCAGGCAAAAGAGCACCTAGGTGATATTTCAGGCATTTGTTCCCTTCTGTTAGTATACTTTCATGGAAACTTTTGCAGAAGTGCTACTTCTTTTCAAATTGGAATAGAGTCTGACATATTGTTTTCCACATAGGCTGATAGGACGTTTCTCAATGTTGTAGGCGAACAGTTTTGTTCCTGCTTTTGTCTAAGACTGCTCAAGCATGGAGATCAGTTTCCTGGAGAATTCCTTGAGCGCAAGCTGTTGGATGCTTTGGAGTGAGATACTTACCCTCTGTCAGTCCTGCTGAATTGTGCTTGCTGAACAGCGTTCTCATTTTCATGAAATAATTTAACCTCATTTAGTATGAGAGAAAAAGACAGGCTGCGTCTTATTTTGTTAAAGAATTCACTTTCTGTTCCAGCCTTTGCCTCAACACGTGTTTATGTGTCACACAAGGGAGCTATGCACTAGCAAGAGTCACTTAGGGCAACACATGCCACAATGATTTCATTGCCAAATCACATTCCTAGGAGGTACTAGCAGAACTTTTCATGAAGGAGGAGGGATCTGAACCTGGTTCTTCAGCCCCTGAGGGTATCACTCAGACCATGAGCGGAGATGGGTCAGAAAAAAGGGAAAAGAAGTCACTTCCTGCTCATTGCATTGTGGGAAAGTCACACTGCACCATCCTAATTTCTGAACCATAGCATAGTGTATACCACACACATCTCTTCAATATCCGAAGGCAGGAAAAAATACCTATGACCTGGAATTAATGCACTATTGCAAAGCAAGTCCCTCTTTATGTTTAATCCCAAGTGCCTTTAGAGATTACATACTTTTCCATTTTTCTCAATTTAATTGGTACAGAACCTTTTTCAGAGTTTTTACAGCCTGGTTGTTACTCATGGTACTACACTGCATGTGATCTGTATTAGATGAGCTGCTCTAAGGTGCCTCCATGCTACAATTGTACTTTAATTTCACTGCATAGATATATCTCTATTGCTGGTTTCTGTCAAGGAATAAGTAGAAGTCAGTTGTGATCTTTTGATTAGGGGATAATTTTAGAAATCCAGACTGTTCATCACAGCAGGGTGCATTTCTCACTGAATATTTCCTGCTTGTTGGTAAGTGTAATTTTAATTATAGTGCATTTGATGCTAGTTAGTGACAGTGCTTTTGATATTGCCTCCTGCTTTGCTTCCCTACTAGAAGCATACAAGTCAGTTCCTTTGCATCTCTTAACACAGGATGCAAATTGACCACAAGAGAAAATGTGCCCAGGATGGAATGGGAACTATACTGTGTCATTCTTCTCTCTTAGCATCTGCATTTCAGAACTAGCAAATTGTTATTTGTACTCTATGCTTAAGGAATACACATACTACAATATTGGAAATAATATAAGCAATCCAGCCTTCGGAACAAGGATTCAAATCCTTGCAATTTATGCACAGTAATTTATTCTACATTTATGAAGCAAAGAGTACTGTAAAATGCATTTGATTTGACTATTGATTATTTCAGAGAGAAGTCCTTTTCACTGAAAGTAGAAATAAGAAATTTCAGTATATCTGTTTTCCCAGAGGAAGCTGCTCTTCCTGCAGAATATTTCTCATGCCATGTAGTAAAGGTTGAAAATATCAAAATTATTCAGGATAGAAAGGAGTTGTAAAACTAAAGTTAGATTAACTTTTGACATTTCTATAACATTCTCTTGCCATAAGGGGTTGATAAAACATTTGTGAACAGGCTATCGGTTGCTGTACCCACTGATCAACATGGACCAAATACTGTGGTGTCCATTGACTTGATAAGTTGCCAAGTGTGCTACTTGTCATCATCTGGTAAATATTCTTTTATAACATAAAGTTTTTATGTTTTTCAGGTATTAACCATGGACCTGTAATAGCTGGAGTAATTGGAGCTCAGAAACCACAATATGATATCTGGGGTAATACAGTAAATGTGGCCAGCAGGATGGACAGCACTGGTGTCTTAGACAAAATACAGGTAGTCTTGTTTTGGTGCCGGTATTTATCTTAACAATGCTTAAAAATCATCATATGTTCGTACACCAAAGGGGTTTGTATTTTGGGGGCTGAAGATGCCTACCGTAAAAATGACCTTTCAGAAGAAATGGATCTCAGTCAGGAACATAAAGAATTAAAGTTCATGGAAGAAAAATGGGAAGAGAATCAAAACTTTATATTCACCCTACAGAGGAATACAATGGAGGAAATTATGCATTTCCTAGAAACGTAGCACCAATTTAAGAGGGGCGTTGGGCAAAATCACATTTGTATTCTCTGAATTTCTAAACTGGTAAAATATTAGCTACATTATTTGTGAAGGGTATTCTTGATGTTAATTATTTCTGAAGGAAAAATGTCCATAACTACATATATCAAGTTAAATCCATAAAGCAGTGATGAAATGTTATTTTGTTGAAACGTGCAGATTAATAACCTTTATGGTTTACTATCTGAATAGATTATGACAGACCTGTATAGAAAAGACCTTCATTTACTAATCTTCCAGGGATTTCATATTCAGGGATCACATTTTAATTTTCTTCCTGGTATGCCTTGCAGCACTTTGGTATCCCACCAGGTATGTGACCGACACCACTCAGACTCTGTGATTGAGACCATTCAGAAGTAAACAGTGCAAAAGTAGAGCTACCTACTAGGTGTTGGCCAAGCCTGAAAATAGGAGGGATCTCAGAGCAGTGATATCTACAAATACTTGTTTGCATCACAAAGAAACACAGCTAGTCTGAGAAAGCTGATGCTGTTGATGAATAACCTCTGCCCTGGTGTACTTGCACCTGAAATGGCAGTACTGCTTCAGTTTTGGTTCACAGTCAGTTAGACTGACTAGTCCTGTTAGTCAGGACAGATATTTTCTTTATATTCTGCAAGGTGATTCTGCTTCACTCTTTTTTCAGTGTTGGTTTTGTCTTGATGCAGGTTACAGAAGAGACAAACAATGTCCTGCAAACACTGGGGTACATGAGCACTTGCAGAGGAATCATAAATGTAAAAGGAAAAGGAGAACTGAAGACATACTTTGTACATACAGAAATGACAAGATCCCTTTCACAAGGGAATGTGGCATCTTGAAGAATGCTTGTACATGTCATTGATACCATATTTTCAGGAAAGTATCACGCACTTTTTAACTACATTTTGGCCCTTAACATGCGTGCTATTTTCTGATATGTGGCACTTATTTTAATATGGCTGCAGAATAGTCCCATGAGCCATCATTTTGCACCTTGATATTCCTATGTTCAAGGACAGTTGTGATGTACACTATAGGACTGGAAGATTGTACTGCAACTTGCACAGTTATTCCAGGACAAGAAAAGAAGGAATAGGATAAGGAGGTAACTCATCCTGAAAGGACTAAAACGAGATGTTGGTGACAAATATGGGGAAAAAAGGCAATAAAGCTAGGGGTGCATACTATTTCCTGATGCATGGTGTTTTCTGGAAAATACAGTCGCTCCCCAATAGCATCCACTAATCTGGTATTAAAGCATACAGTATTTGTAAATAGGTTTACTCGATCCACACATGAGTTGGATGTGATCACCAGTTGCATCTCATAGCCAGGGACACGTTGGGTGGCTTGCTGGCATTCTTTCTGAAGAGAGAACTAATAATGCTGGAATAGTTTTGTACAAACGTGTCAAATGTTTTGAAGCAATTGTCTTTTGTAAGGTTAATTCATTAAAGGTTTATATGTAATTTGTCTTACTGTTGCTGTCTCTTAGTTTTGCTTCCTTTTGTGGCTTCTGTACCTCTACACCTGAGCATCTTCTGCTGCAGCTGCTGTATTTTATTCAGTGATTAGATATTGAAGCAGGCTGTGGCCAGCTATCTCCTCAGCTTAGGTCATTAATATCTGTAAGATTTGCTTCTGCCTTTCAGAAATTGAATCAACTTTTTTGTCTTCAGTCTTTCTTAGTATCCTAGGCAGTCCTTTGGTCCCTAGGTGACAGAGAAGACTTCAAGTCCCAAACATGAATGAGAACGAAGTGGAGGATACTGGAGACATAAGCAGTGTTGCTACTCTGCAACGGGCCTGCAGTGCTTAAACAGTAACTAAGAGAAGATGTAGGAAAAAGGAAACATTTGTGTTTTGTACTTTGACCACCTCATCTGCCCTTGCATGCCTTTCACTTATCTTTACAGTGCCCAATTTCATGGGATATTTAAAATAATCAAATTTATCAGAACATAATTGATACAGTCTGTCTATTTTTGAAGATACAAAAAATTGCTATTTTGTGGATATTCAAGATCAATTTAAATCTTGTTGAATAGTAACTTGCAGATTTTCACAGGTGAGCAAATGTGAGAGACTGAAAAAGCAGGTAAACATGCTCCTTTGAAGGCACTACAAAGATTATTTTTGTTTTGCCATTATCGGTACTTGATATCAACGTGTTTTTAGTCATGATAACAGGCTAACAAACCAAAATTAATAAGTCTCACACTCAAAAATATAGCTATAATATTTTTTCTGTCATGGTATTGAAATGTAAAGAGCATTCATTGAACAATCTTTCAGATTCCATATTCGTGAAACATTTATATACATTTGTATTGCATTGGTGTCCTTTCAGAAGGAGTTCCCAAAATATTCCCAATACAAATGGCATCAGGCTGCACAGTCTCATTGAGTGAGGTGAGGTTACCAACAGCCGCCAGCTGCCCTCTAGCAAATTGGAATAGCAGTCAGTCTTGAAATGTCTACATTTGAAATGAAATAGACACCTTGAATTTTTAAAATTTCTTAAAAATTAAATTACATTGGGAAAAGTAGAGAACAACTTAGATTTTGAATGTACTCTGAGCCTTTAAAACCGTTCTAGTGTTATCACAGGTCAAAGCAATCATTTCTTACTGTGAATGAAAACCCTGTAAGTTGATTATATTGTACTGTCATATCTGTGTGCAACTGTCAGGTATAATCTGTACATTCAGGGTTTTGTTTTCATTTGTATTCTTGCACATTCTGTGCACCATTAGTAAACTGTGTACCTAATTTGATAGACTTGTTTCTATAATTTTTATAAAAGTTAAAGTATATAATATTTCTGTAACCCATAAAACATTAAATTATTTGAATAGCTGTGAGCTGACCGTTCCAACGAAGTGTAAAGCTAAGTATGTGCCCTCCAAGAACGTGTTGATAATGCCCTTGTCTGTGACACTCTGGTGCCCTTGTAATACTCTGGTATTCTCTCATTTTGTACTTGCATTCTAACTCTCGCTACTGTGTAGCCAAATCCTGCTAAAGAACAAAAAAATGGGCAAAAGATGAATATACGTGTAGTATGATGCCCAAAGAAGGGTGCATATTATCCTTTCTCCAGCCTTTAGTTGCTGAGTATTATTATCTTTCTAGTGCCAAGAAGCTATTTGTATCCAATAAATATTTTTTGTCTTCCAAAGCACTTTACATCTACTGTCTATACTGTTTTATTCTTCCCCTGTCTAGACAGACCCGGAGATCCTCTTTCTTCCTCTCTTGCAGAAATTTTATATTCCGCAGTAACTGGATATAACACTGCTTGAGTGTCACTGTATAACTTGAAAGTTTTCTGATGATCGTATTTTCTGCGTAACTTTAAGGTTCGAGTTCTACAGCTTCCATGCTGATGCTGCAGTTCGCAGGTCGCCAGCGAGTCACCAGGGTCATGAGTTTCAAAAAGCTGAATGCAAGAGTGCTCAACAACATGAGGTAGCAGCCACACAATGAATATAAGCGTGATTCACTGTGATCTGGGAAAATGAAACCCAAACATGAACACTTTGGGAGCCTGCTGCATTTCTTTATCAAAGACAGTGCTGTGTGCCAATTTATGGAGGACTACCAAGGGGCAGGAAGAAAGACTAGGCTTGCAGATATTTTTCTTGACTACAGAAGTAGTTGTGATCACCTGTAAAGTAATGCTATTCAAATGCTGTTTCCAGAAACAAACATTAGCATCCTATCTATCCTGTATGCACAGCATTATTAATTCTCTTCACATTCCTTTAACGGTTTATCTACTTCATAAACTATCTACAGACCTTACCTTTTTCCACTGCGGTGCAGGTAGCAGTTCAGCCTACTCATTTCTAAACAGAAGGCTGTGCACATTCATAGGCAGAGGTGTTGAAAGTCTGTCATTGTTTTCAGAACCTTGTATCAGGACAAACAATTAGGCATATCATCAGGAATGTTTATATGCTGACAGATTTAGTTTTACATGATGATTACCTTGTCCTTTGATAATTAATTTTCCTTTTGGTTGTACTTCAGTATGAAGTTTTTTTTTTTCTTCCTGCAAGAGACAGTCTGTCACTCATTCAGGGCCTTGAAAAAACAAGCACTTGTGTGAGATGAATGGCTTGACTTGAGGACCAAACCTATTACAGCAGAAACTGGACAGTTTTAGAGTCATCTGTGCTTCAGCTTCTTTTTCAAGGATGATGGCTCACAGCATTTGTTGGAAAGGCTGTCTCTCTTTCATGGCTCAGGAATACTGAGTCATGGCATTCTGATACATGTTGAGGCCAAACAGCAAGGAGAGGAACTGAATTGCTGAGCTTTGATTTAACAGCTGCCTAGCCATCTCTGCTGTAAGTGCCACCAGCTTGAAACAGGTATGTCACCTTGCAGTAGGAAGACTGCTACTGTGTTTTTTCTGCATTTCAATAGCTTGTTTAGTTACATGTCATCTGTCTTCTTGGGTCCATCCTATCACCATCTCTGTCTCATTGTCTCCCCTCTGACCATTTGCCTTGCCAAATTAATTTGATAAATTTTCTTGCTAAGTTTTTCCAACAACCAGTTTGATATTTCAGAACGCTCATCCTGCCTTTGAGACATTGTTATAAGTATAAAAGCTATAAGGAGGGGAGCAGAAGTGAGAGAATAGTTCAGTTGGAAGGAACATTCAGAGATCATTTAGCCCAACTTGCCAAAGCATTCCAGGGCTCACCAAAAGCCAAGGCATCTTACTGAGGGCATCGTCCAAATGCTTCTTATCCACTGAAAGCCATAGGGCATCAGCCACCTCTCTAAGAAGTCTGTTCCAATGTTTCATCACTCTTACAGTAAAAAAAGGCATTGTGCTTTGTGCTTTTCCCACGTGTTCTGTCATTGGTGACCAGGAACTACAGCCTGGCACCTCACTCTGCACTTCCCCTCCTTAGGGACCTGCAGAGAGCAATGAGGTCACTCCTCGGCCTCCTCCAGACTAGACAGCACAAATGTCCTTTTACCAGCCTTGTTGCCTTCCTCTAGATGCTTTCAAGGACCTTAAAATTCATTTTATACTGTGGAGCAGCAGATCTGCATGTAATATTCAAAGCGAGGCCACATCAGTGTTAAATAGACAAGGAGAATCACCTCCTTGGATCAGTTGGCTATGCTGTGTTCAGTGCACCCCAAAATGCAATTTGTCCACTTGTCCACCATTGCATTCTGCTGGCTCACGCTGTCACTGACATCCCCAAGGCCATTCCTCCTGAGATGCTCTCCAGCCATTCTTCTCCCAGTCTGTACCTGCATCCATCCCAGTTGCAGAACCTGGCATTTTCCTTTGTTGAAATTCATGCTACTGATCATATCTAATCTTCCAATCTTATCTAGATCCCTCTGATCCCTCCAGAGTCAACACCGCCTCCCAGTTTAGTATCATCAGCAAACCTGCTAAGGATGCATTGAGCTTCTGCATCTAGATCACTGATAAAAAACATTAAATAGGACTGGTCCCAGAACTGAGCCTTGGAGAGTACTCTACTGACCAGCTGCTACTGACCAGCTGCCAGTCTGATGTAGCCCCATTCACATGTAGGACACTTTAAGCTCTAAAATTCAGATCATCACCCAACATAGTGTGAACCTGTTTATCACACCATTGCACAATTTGTCCAAAAGGATGCCATGAGAGACAGTATCAAAGAATATGTGCAATGCCTCTCCTTCACCCACCAAGTGGTTAGAGGACTTTTCCATTTTGGCTATGTTCCTTAAATACCTTTCAGTATCCCCAGGATAACCTTCTCCATAACTTTTTCAGGACCAAAATGAGACTACTAGGTCTGTAGTTTCCTGGATCTTCTCTCATGCCCTTACAATTCTGTGACCACCGATGGAAAGTCACTGCTTCTCTGGTCACAGTCATTCAACACAAAAGACCAGGCAGTCCAAGATCTATCATTAATACTAAAAACTAAGGCAAAAAGTCATTCAATGCCTTCACCGCTTTCTCATCCCTATTTGTTAGCTGACCATCAAGTATCAGTGCAGTGTTTTCCTTAGACCTCCTGCTGCTACTGACATACTTAGAAAAATATTTTTTGTGTATCTGACATCACAGTAGCCACTGTCAACTAAGATAAGCTTTGGTTTTTCTCACTCTTTTCCCTGCAGATGCAAACTGCCACCTTGTACTCTCCCTCTGAAGCCAGACTTTGCTTCTAAAGCTCATATATTTTCTTTTTCTGCCCTAGTTCCAGGAGGATTTTCCTATTCTCAAACAACAGACCCAGGGTGGCTCCTCTTATAGTTGGTTCACTCAGTACTTGTGACAGGATGTTATCTTAAACATGCTTCAGAAATTTTCAGACATACTTGTCATAATAGTATGATATTCCAAGTTTATGTTTGGGAAGGTGAAGTCTCACATAAGGACGAGATAATCAATCCCAAAAAATCCCCTAATTGCCTATAGCTCGTCTATGCTACTGTCCTGGGTGGGCAGTAGACAGTAGACACCTAGAACAACTTCCACTTTGTTACCTGTCTCCTTAATCCTAATCCAGAAGCTCCCTGCCACATCATCCCTAACGTCAATGACCATACAGTCTAGTCTCTCCCTTATGTACAATTGCAACACCTCCCCCCAGCCTGCCTGGCCTATGCCTCCTGAACAGCTGAAAATCTTCCATCCCAGCATTCAGTCATGGGACTCATCCCTCCAAGTCTCACAATAGTATCAGTGCTCTGGGAGAGGAGCAAATCTTCCAGTTCATCCCATCTGTCTTTCATACTATGTGCATTAGTATATAAGCATTTCAGAATGCTCCTGAATATGCTGTGTTCTTTGGAATGACACAGATGATCCCATTAGCCTTGCCTCAGAGAGTGCCACATCATCCTTTGACATAACCTCAGTGCTCCTAATGGTATCCCCTTCCCTTATTGATCCTAGTTTAAGTCCTCTCAATCAGTCTTGCCAAGTTAAAGGATAAGAAACATTTTCCCCACTGAGATAGGTGGAAACCAACTGGCACCAGATCATAGATGTCTTGTCTTGAAGTGTTTTCCATGTCTATAAAACCCAGCAGGTGGATGCACCAGTCCTGGAGATAGGTATTGAGTCACCTATGACTGCTTCCTGCTGCTTCTTCACAGCACCAGTCTCAACTTTGCTGCTTAGAGGTTACCTGACCCTGATGGGAAAACTTGCAAATACCTCTTCTTTCATCTTTTCAAATCTCTTGTCTGCCACACCGAGAGCAGAATCAGAGAGAAACATTTCAAATGTGACTTCAGGAATCCTGTGTACCTTAGTTTAGACTTCTGGTGAACAATTTCTTGTGGCTGTATTTACAGCTACAGCTTCAGCTGAACTGCTTTTTATAGTTTGCAGTCACTTGGTGCTCGTACTAAACTACAAAACAGCACTTGCACAGTGGCATCTCTGTGTAGGAAGCTGATGTCAGACAACTATTGTTTAAAACTCCACTGCTCACATATTCTGTGGTAATTTGACTAATGTTACAAGGAGAACCCAAATTGGTAGAGGGATATTATTAGATAAGCAGATGGAAATTGTAATGAATGATTAAAAGTCTATAGAGTACAAATTTCTCACCATTGCACTAGGAAAGAAGCAAGATGCTAGTTACATTTTTCAGTTTATTAGTGAATGGAGGATGGAAGCCATATAGTAGAAATGGGAAGTTTACATCAAATGTGGGCTCAACATGCCTATAGGAATTGGTTATGAAGATTTAGGTATCCTGAATGCTTTGTTTGTTTTTAAATTGATGTTCAGTTAAAAATCAAGATGTCCGAAAAACTCCTGTTTCGAAACAGCTTGCAAAAAAATACTAACAATTATAATAATGGCAGTATTGCACCTATGGCACTAACACTGCAATTGCCAAAACAAGTAGCAACACGATAGAATCATAGAATATCCCAAGTTGGAAGGGACCCAAAAGGCTCACTGGGTCCAGCTCCTGCTTCCACACAGGACTACCTAAACACAGGACCATATGTCTGAGGGCAGTATCCAAACACTGCTTGAACTCCACCAGGTTGGTATCGTGGCCACTGCCCTGAGCAGCCTGTGCCAGGGCACAAAATGAAGCTAGTCATATATCCCCAAGCAGTACAGGAGGAAAGAGAAGAGCCAGTTACACGTGCGTATTAATATAAAGTAAGCAAATAAATGAATATTGAAACTAGGAGCCAGGTGTTACTGGGGTAGAGCAATTTTAGAGCTAATCACTTAATTGAAGTTGCAGCTGGGAGTTGCTCACTGTCAGTGCCCCAAAGTGAGCATGCAAAATTTCAAATCAACCTGAAAGGGCTAAAACTCAGAAAAACATGCCTAGCTTGGCACTGAGTGTTGGCAGGTTCTTCAAGATGCAGATGCCTCGTTCTGTTGGAAATACCATGTTTTGGTGTGTTTGTTATTCAGCCTCTCCAAGTGTGAAAATGCTCCCACGGAAGGGAATTTTGGCAAAGTGCAAAAGATCCCCTTGGGGAAAACAAATCAATAAATAAAAATCTCTTTTGGTCCAGCTTTGTTCTCATTTGCTTTCCCAGCCTCCAGAGACAGAAATGAATCAGGAGCTGGAAGGAGGAAGGTGTCAGAGGCCACGCTGGGCTGGGAGCAGGGCACGCTGCCCAGTGAGGAGGCTCTGAGACTGCTGCTTAAAGCCGAGCTGAAACCTCGCGCATCATGCTCGTCAATGTGCGTCTCCAGGTTTAATACGTGACCAGCTCTTGCCCGGGCCGAGGGCTCCGCGTTGTCGAACCGCCTCACACATAAACACACCCCGAGTGCTGCGCCTGCCGCTTTCCCCCTCGCCGACCCGTTCCGCGGTGCCGAGAGACGGCAGAGCGTTACCGGGTAACGGCAACATGGCGTCCGCCGCCACAGCGGGCGCAGGGGAGCAAGGAGGGGACGTGGAGGAAGGCGGCAGCGGGCTGGGGAGGAGGCGCCCACCTCCCATCTCCTCTCTGTCAGCCTTCAGCTACATCCCGCCCCGGCGGGAAGGTCCCGCGGAGCTCAGCTACTTCCACCGGGTGGCCCAGGTGAGGGGCGGCTGGGCAGGGCAGGGCACCGGGCAGTAGCACTTTGTGGTTGGGTAGGAGGTTTGGCGTTTCCAGGGTGTGAATTGCAGGCTGAGGGGGAAAAGGTAGTAAAGGAAAGTGTCACTGGATGGTGCAGAAGGCAGATAAATGGTTGCTCAGTGGCTGCACAGTGATGAAGGACAGAAGCTCAATCGTTCCGTCTGGAGCAGGCTCAGGGGAGACCTAATCAATCTCTACGACTCCCTGAAAGGGGCTCTGTGGTCAGGTGGGGGTCAGCCTCTTCTCCCAGGTAACAGCAGTAGGACCGGAGGGAATGGCCTCAAGTTGTGCCAGAGGAGATTCAGGTTGGATATTAGCAGTAATTTCTTCTCAGAGAGAGAGCGGCGAGGCAGTGGCACAGACTGCCCAGGAAGGTGCTGCAGTCACGGTTTCTGGGGGTGTTCAAAAGCCATGTGGATGTGGCACTGAAGGACATGGTTGGTGGGGATGAGCTGATGGTTGTTCCGAATGATCTTGGCGATATTTTCCAAACCTAATGATTCTGTGATTCTGTGGCACTTTTTTTTTTTTTTCTTGCCAGCACGGTTTGCGTGGCATTGTTGAAAGACAGGATTTGCCATTTTAGATTCAATCCTGTGGATTTCAGCATCGCTTTGGGAACGTGCCAGATGTTAAGGAGCACAGGTGGTGTTGTGCATAACAGAATGTGGTAAGGCAGAGAACAACAGGAGTAGGCCTAGGGAAGGTCAGAGGGCTTGGCTGGTGTATTTGGGGGTTGATGGAGCTGGCAGGGAGAATGGCTCTCCAATCTGCATGGAATTAACAACCATATGCTGGTACTTTTGTTTTACAATACAAAATTTGCTTTCACACTCCCATTGACAAGGTTTGTAAACAAAAATTTATTAAAAAAAAAAAAAAAAAAACAGAAAAGTACTTAAGAAAATGAAACCTGTATGTCAGAGGCCAAAGCAGAGAGAAATAGAGAAAGATGTTCTAGCATGTGTCCCAGTGCCAGAAATTTCCACTTGTTAATCCTTTGGCTGACAACTACTCCCTGTACTACTTTATGTAAGTTATTATATCCATTTTATTGTCCTGCTTCCCCTTCTGTGATACGGAAAAAGCTTTTATCTACTTTTTGTGTGGTTGGAATATTAATGTATATTAATGTATATTAATGTATATTAATGCAAAGTGCTTAGCCCCAGAAGCAGTACACAGAGGATGCCCCTCCACCTCGTCCTAGTAAGTCTGCATTTAATAACTGGGAAATAACAGCAAAGAGGCAGGATTTTGAGCACAGAATTGTTTCTGTACAGAAGAACTTTAACAGATGACCAGGGACAAGCGCTAACTCTTAACAGGTTGGCTACTATCTGCAAGTTTCAGAAAAAATCATCTGCTCTGACACAGGTAACAAGTAATAGACACATAATGCCACATGAAGAAAAACAAAGGAGCGAGTAACATTCCCAATAGTGAGCAGAGATTAGATGCCTACCAAAATTCTAAACAAAACTGGTAATGTGGAGAGGAGAGGACAATCAAGGAAGCATGGGAATAATGAAAGTAGCAAATCAGATGCAAGATGCTCTTGAATATGCCTGAAATTGTTTGAGACTTGGTAATTTCTGAGGAATGAAGGGATGTATAGGTTGCAAATCAAACCACCTCTTGGCAGAACCAAGTAGTAGAGCTGTGCTTCCAATAGAAACGTGTGATTACAGTGATGCATTGCTAGCATTCTTGCCTGAGATTTCCTTCTGAGGGAGCCTTCTTGACCTGCCCTGACTTGAATGTTTTTGGAGAACAGTAATGGTGAGTCTCAAAGGGCATGAATTCTCCAAAGGCTAAATTAAGCACACTATAACATTGAAAGGTTAAAGGGGAAAAAAATAAAAAAAATAAAAATAAAAAAATAAAAAGGCAGAAGAAAATGCACAATTTTTTTGGTTTGTAAAAAGTCATGTATAAAACCAGTAATCCGTTGACTTTTTAATGAAGAACATAAGCAACTGACAGCATATTACAGCAGGGGATTTTGTCCTTTTCATGAGAATGCTTTTTGTATTTGAAATTCCTCCACTTCTTTAAAAATTAGATTTCACGAATGCATTTTTTAGCAGATCAGATCTTTCATGTTATTCAGCTGTAACTCCAACAACAGATATCATAAATACAGTAATGTTCTGCGTTGTGATTTACTTTATTTTCGTGTATGAGAGATTACAGGATTACCACTGTGGCAGGTTTCTGAGCTCTTCTCGGTTCTGCTTTAATTAGAAATTAAATGGCGGTTCCACTGTGGGGCACCTTCACATTTTTCATTCCAAATTGATTTTCTGTTCCAAAGTTTCAACAGATTGGAGGGAAAAATTGAGGTAATTTGCCACAAGGGAAATTTCAAAGATGGACAGATCAAAAATAAAAAATCACATATTATTCAGTATTTTTATTGCACATTATTTCAGAAGAATGACCCGAGCCTGCAAATGGCAGCTCAGATGTATTACAGTTGTCATACTCCGATGTTATGTGTCCACTGCTTTATTATTGAATCCTCTGTATGTATTCTATATCATATGAATTTAAAGAGGACTGTTATTTAGCCATTTTTCTCCTTTTCTAAAGGCAGGAGGGGTTTCCATCTACGACTCCATTTTTAAAAGACCAGAGGGTTACAATGAAAAACTTCACCGATGCGACAGAGAACATGCAAGGAGTCGTGGCCTTAACGTTAATGATGAGGTAAGCCTTCAATAATTTCAAAATTATTTTTGTTAAAGGTACTTTATTCATTTTGACATGGCTGGAAATAAGTGAAGATACCCAAGCTAGCTCTTGCTCCTTGTGTCCTGTAGATTTCCAGATCACAAACCTTATTTTAGTTAAAGAGTAGGGGAAAGAGATGCGTGCAGGGAGCCAAACCCTCTGTTACAGAGTTTCAGTGATCAGTCTCTGCCTCTCCTGAGTTTGCAATTGTGGTTGTCCTGCAGCTACTTTTATGATGCTTAAAACTTGTACCTGAGAGGGCTGGAGCTAGGGACTCCACCTTAACCCCAGTCCTGTGATATCCCCATTCCCTGAACCTTACAGTGTGAACCCATGTTTGGTGAGACATCCCAAGTCTCTAAAAGAGGTTGCCCTGCAGGAAGGGAATTTGTAGGGAGCTCGTGCAAACGAGAGGTCAATCAGACAGCCACAGACATGCCTGGAAAAGGCTAACTGAAGCAAAAGCATTCAAGGACAGGAGAATTTGAGTTTAGTGTGTAGTCTGATAAGTAAGGAAGTATGCAACCATGTTTTTGAACAGCTGCCTTAAAAATAGGAATACTATAATCTATATACTTAGATATAAAGATATGCTTTTTTCTTTGTAGCATATGAATAATACATACATATGCACACACACAGACACAGAGGATGTCAAAAAAAAAAGAAAGATAAAGCACAACCTCTGTGTATTAATGGCCTTGAAACTGCAGTGGATTAATAAGATGGAAAAATGATGATAGACTAAGAATTGTTTCCTGTGTTAAATATGATAAAGAGAAAAACTTGAAATTACTGTAATTGCTGTGAAGTAAAACTGTTGAGATTATGGGACAAAGGCCACTGCTTATAATTCCTTTAACTAGCAGCTATACATGCCAGACATTTCACTGCACAGTCATAATCCCCTTTAGTTCTATCAGACAGTGCAGGGAGTATTAGGTACACTCAAAGGAATCACAGAAGTGCCCCTTAAGATTATCTGCTCCTGCCTAGTAACTCACCTGCAAATCTGCATGAGGCCAAAAGCCATGTAAATGACCAATCTAATGATAAATGAGCCAATCCCTCCACCACCTAGCCAGCATCAAACCCAATATCCAAGTGAGACATCTGTGTAAAAACAGTTTTATTAATGCAGCATCTTAATGGTTTCTTTCTTACTCAGATTTTGCTTCCATTCAGTACCAGCAAGTCACTTTAAAAGTTTACTTGCTGAAGCAAATGCTTATAGGCCAGAATGCAGAGTAGTCCTGCTGGGCAATGCACACAAGTGACTGCCTGGGAACTGTTCTAAGCAGGTGTCCCTTAATCCAGTCCTTTAATTAGCATGGAGGCACATCAAAGCCACAGCTGTTGAATGATGCAACATGATCCTCATGCATGGGATGGCACCCAACACTGGACTTACCCATAACTAAATGCAGGTCACGTACTCAGATCCTGCTCCTTAGTTACCTCAATGGCTCTCACAGACCTTGTATAATACCAACTATTTTATGAAACATAATAAATAAAAATACCAAAATTGACATCTTTCTAATACAATGCTGAAAGGAGACAGGTGGAATTCTTTACAGTACACTTCTTTCTTTGAAGTGGAAAAAAAACAAATCATTACAAGCAAGCCTTTCCTTTCCTGCAGAGCGTGGGCACACCCTGGGAATCCAACAGTACAATCATAGATAGCTCAGTTTAGCTGCACATAATGCAGTGACTAGAGCGAGAGTGTTTGCACATGGTTGCTGTTGCTGATTTCAAGTGTTAACAGTGATAGAATTACATGCTGTGAAGGCATATAATGGGATACTTTCCAACCAACCGTGGAAAATTTGATATCTGCTTAATGCAGAACCTTAAAAATCATGGAATACTGCTGCATAGTCAGCACTGTGCTACCAAGGATGCTGAAAATCTAATCTTACTTATTTAAAGGAAAAATGAACTACCTATGATCACATACTACTACTTGTCATTGGCAAGCAAAATCCTTTTTGGCCAGCGAAGACTATTTTGATGTTACAAAGACAATCTCACCTCAGTGTCTGGTATGATCATGTAGCAAATCCTCCTGGAGATTATACTAAGGTACATGGAAAACACGAAGCTGAGGTGATGATAGCCATCATGGCTTCACTAAGGGCAGATCATGCCTGCCAAATTTGGTGGCCTTTACGATGGGGTTGCAACACTGGTGGATAAGGGAAAAGCAACTGATGTCATCTATGTGGACTCGTACAAAGCATTTGATACCAGCTTGGACAACATCCTTGATTCTATAGCTGGAGAGACCTAGGAACAAGTGATGTTCCTTAGAGTCAGTACTGGGATTGACACTATTTAACATCTTTGTTGGTTACATGGAGAGTACAACTGAGTGCATCCTCAGCAGGTTTTCTGATTACGCTGAAGGGAAGAAATGCCACCCAAAGGGACCTGGACAATCTCGAAGAAAGCCTATGCAAACCTTGTAAAGTTCAACAAGGCCCGGGTCCTACACCTGGGTTGAGGCAATCCCAAGCACAGATACAGGCCAGGTGTGAGGGAGAAACACTTAGGGGTCTTGGTTGATGAGGGGAAAAAAAAAAAAACAAAAAAACATGAGTGAGCAGCTCAGAAAGCAAACTTCTTATGTCTTGAACTGTACGAGAAGAAGCACGATCATCAGGGCAGGGGAGGTGATTCCCCTCTCTGCCCCACTTCTGTGAGACCCTACCTACAGTACTGCATTCAGCTCTGGGGTCCCCATCATAAGAACATGGGCCTGTTGGAGTGGATCCAGAGGAGAACCACTAAGATGATTAGAAGGTTGGGGCACCTTCCTATGAAAACAGGCTGAGGCAGCTGGAGTTGTTCAGGATGGAGGAGCAGCATTCTAGTGCCGAATGGAGGCCTACAAGAAAGCTGGAGAAGGACTCTATCAAGGTGTTCAGTGATATGACAGATGTTAACATTTTTAAACTTAAGGGGGTAGATTTAGATTTGATGTTAGGAAATTCTTCACTCAGAGGGCAGAGAGGCCCAGGCTGCCCGGAGGAGTTGTGAATGCCCTATCCATGGAGGTGTTGAAGGCCAGGTTGGATGGGGCTTTGGGCAACTGGGTAGAATGAAAGTTGTCTTGCCATGGCAGAGGCTCAAACTAGATGGTCTTTAAGATCCTTTCCAACCCAAACTCTGCTATGACTCTATGAATGATTCTGTAATTTCTTTAGTGTTTATCCACAGGTGGGAAGAGGGGGACAAAATGGTCTGATGTTTCTTTTCCTGCCATTCTTCTCATCTGTTGATTTATATATATTTTTTTTTTTTTGTTGTTCTGGTGGGGTTCAAAGTTGGTGAACTGAATGGCATTTAATGGGGCAGTGCAAGATAAGCAGGTGAGCTGGCAGGAGAGTTGAAGGAAGAATGGTTGCTGCTTCTTTTTTATTTGGGGGAAAAAAAAAAAAAAGGCTTATAGCATCTTTCCAACAATCTTAGATTTAGATTTGTCCATCTTTCAGGATATGTTACACCTGACTGCGCTGCTATGAGGCTATTTGTACCTCTGCTTCATCTTGCATTCTCACAGGAAATGTGGTGGTTCATGTGCTTCAGAGGTTCTATCATAAATTTTAATATGACTCAGACTTGTGTTGTAGCAAAGAGCTCATTTATTTGCACCTCAGCTGTGGTGAGGGGTCTGCATTTTTGGCTCTCCTTGTAGATGTTATTTATGTTGTAGTACTAGGCAAATACACTGGGGACCAAGGCTTATTGTGTTAGCCATTGTGCAAACATACAAGCAGCCTGATAAATCTGAGACCTTTGGCTAGGGAAAGCAAAACAAACAAATCCTGCCTGCCTTTCCCTTCTGACTCCAGAGCTCCCTGTTGCTGCAGCACAGGAAGGAACTGCAGATTGCAGATAGTAATTGTATGGCCACTTAAAATGCACTTTATTAAGGACAGGCTTAGAATAATCTTGTTTTGGATGGATTATTTTTTAACAATTTCACTTCTTATAATTGCAGAGCAGTTATTTCTGTAATCTTGGAGCTACAAACTGTTTTAGTAAAACCTTTCGTTGTGCACAAATCTAGTAGCATATGTTTTATGTCCCTAGGGGAAGGGTTGTATGGGCCAGTAGTGGTTGTGCAGTTTTTATTTAGGCCTTTTTTTTTTTTTGTGTGTGTGTGTGTGTAGTGGTTTCACTGAATTGTGCAAACATGTCCTCCTGGAATAAGGTATTCAAATCTTTAGTTTTCATATTTGTGTAAGTCAGTGCACAAGAAACAGAAACAATGAAATCTGTGCCATTTTCCAGTAATGTGGTGTTTACTTTTGCCAGTAATCACACAGGGTGTGAGGGTGTGTATGTTTTGTGTGTGTAGGGGTGTGTAAGGGTGTGGGTGGATGGGTGTGTGTGTGTGTGTGTGTATGTAGCTTAGGTGGTGGTGCGGCACAATTCCACGTCTTCTCATCATCCAGCGATACTATTAATATATGTTAAAAAAACAACTAGGTTAGGAATGGAACATGAGAGTGCAGATCACTGCTACATAAATATACCTTTGTATAGCAGATGCTGTACAGATCCATCTGTTCTCTTGCCCCCAGGCACAGTACATTTAGCAGTAGTTAGCTGCCAAGTATTCACTCTGTGATATCCTCATAAGGAGAATGTTACATTTTCACAGGAAATGGCAAGACCTGTCGCTGTTTTGTCATCTTCAGAGTATGGGAGACACAGAAGTAAGCACACAGAGCAGCTGATCCGAAGTCATGCAAGGATTAATTGTGTGCAGGCAGAATTCTACAGGAAAAATGGCATTACGTGCTTATTGGAAAAACCTTCTCCAAGACTGGATCCGTGCTAACATTGCCAGCAATATTTGTCTGCAAAGAAACATGTCAAAATGCAGAATAGTGCTTCTGCCTTTTTCTTCTGCGTTTTCATTAATGAAAATGATTTATATGAAATAACTGCACTTTTCCTCATGCTGATTCAAATCTATGTTTTCTCCTTTTAGTTTCTTAGAAGTCTCATGTAGAACATCCACAAAAGCTGAACATAGGAAGCAACACTGGAAATTAAATCTGTTGGGTCAACAGACGTCTGTGCTATTTCAGGCAGTAGCTACAAAATTGTTCACTGAATGAACATTAAATTTGCTCCTCGGGGTATTAATACTTTCTTAATACTTACAGTTCTTAATCCCTACAAAATCTGTAAACATATTTTTCTTTTTTTCTGCAGAACAGTAATTCAATCAGTAATTCAACCCAGATTTTCCAAAGTGGATGAGAAAGTAAATAAAGATCTGATTTCTAGAAGTACTGAGGAATTTCATTAGAGTTCAATTGGAAGTGAAGTTAAAGGGAACTTCTCAGTGCTTAGCATGTAAGAAGACACTAAAATTTTGATTTAAATTATTTTAGGCATCCTTTTTGCTGACATCAGTTAAGAAAAATGCTGTCAGAGGGATTGATCTGTCACAAGAAGAATCACTTTTGTAGACCAGTGCTCTACTACAAAGAGAGCAATAACTTGTTAGTTTGGTAGAAAGGATTAAAAAAAACCCAACAACACAAGTCACTTAAAAATTATGTCTAGAGGTAAACGTCTAAAGCCACTTAAACACCTTCTTCCTTCTATTCTCATTGAATCTAGTAGTGGAGTTTTAAGATATTTTCAGGAAAAGAAACATCTTCCGCAGGGTGTGCATCCTTGTGGTTCTGCAGCATCATTGATCCTGTTGTTGTTTAAAGCTGAAGCAATATTGATACTGTTCAATATCAAACATTTCGCCAGACCGATCACACTCATTTAAGAAGGATTGGAAAGCCACAGCATTGACTGACACTGTACTTCTGTCAGATACTTAAATAGGAAATGAGTCTGCTAGGAAAAAATAATACAAATAAGTACTTCCTGTAGGGCCTTGGATATGCAGGGAACTAGGCAACTGATAGAGCATTTGGTATGATGTGAGGAGCTGATTATACAGAACAGTCCATTCTTAGAGGTGTTTGGCACTTTCAGGCTTGTAATGTCCCCTCTTTCAGTGAGTAATGGCTGTGGATAAGAGGGCAGAAACTGCTACGTTCCTTTTCAACAATGAATACTTCATTAAAGAAATCCAGCAGCATTAAATGAAAAGGAATCACACACAGTATAAATGAAGTGAGAAAGGAATGTTTTCTAACAACACCAGAATGCTTTATCAAGGGTATCACAAGTGAAGAATCACAAGTGAGATAAAATATGACCATATTCTATAGACGTTATTTTTAGTTTGGTACAGGCAGTACAAATTACTTCATTCAAATAGTCTCACTGTACTTGCAAACCATCTGTGTTCAAATAACTAAAACGTTTGAGAACACTACCACCTTCTGGCCAATGTGAGAAACGTGCATCTCCAGATGATTTCCACCAAAGGAGTGTAAGTTAGCAAGATACCAGCATTAGTTTACTTATCTGTGCTTATGTCATCTACTTCTCTTTCAGTATCATCTCACCCTCAGGTTTGAATGTTTTTCACATGTTTCTAATCCTATGACTTCTCATTCAGGTGTGTGACTGACTTCTTTTAATGCTCAGTGTCAAAAGAATACCTTCATAAAAATTTTATTTTCTGTAAAGCAGTGCTATTTAGTGATCAGCACTACAGCTCCTAAGTCTGTGTAATAAGCTAGTGATGCTTGTGCACCTACTGCAAATTTTAGTTTTCTAAAACACTTGGAAACAACATACAAAAAGCTGGGAATAAATTGTATAATTTCTTATTATACAGTCAAGAAAAAAACCTGATTGATTGGTACATAACATGGTACATTTTGTACATTCAGCAACAGCTAATAACCTTAAATAGCTTTATCTGTCCACTGACAGTTGTGATTTAAAACAAGTGAAAATACAAGGAAAATGCAGTAGTGACTGTTTGGTACTTTTATCTATTAATACTATGCAATAAATATTTACATAAAACTTAAGAAAATATGTTACTTTTTATTACTCTTTACATATTAATTGTTCCAAATATTGGAAGGTCACACATTCAGAAGGCGAAATCATCTGACATGGAGTTATTAGAATTGTTCTCCCATGCACAATATGTACACGTTATGGTACAGGAGGTCAAGCTGTGATACAGTGGTATTCTCCATTGTCAGCAGCCATGTCCATATGTATGAGGAAAGATTTTTTTGTGTAGATATTCTGCCATTTTTCTGCAAGATTTTATACTTCCTACTTCAAAAAATGGAACCTGGAAATGAAACCAAAACGATTGCTGGAAATATATTTTAATAAACAACAAGAGTAAGTTTAACGTTGATTAAATAGACATGCAATTACACATCAGAGTTGCATTTTAAAATAAAACATTTACTCCTAAGTTTATTACTGATCTGTAAGTCTTGGGGGAAGTGAATAGAGGTTATTGCAAAGCAAATAGTGATGTTTATTACGGTTTAAACTAAGTTAAATACAAAGTAGTTAAGCTTATGTGCTAAGTGCTTATAAAGGGAAAAAAGCATACCAAAACGTGAAAGTCTAGCATATGCTTATAGGTAAATATATCCCTATTTATTTCAACAGGAAAAATAAAGGATACACTCTGCTTTGGAAAAAATGTTATTTCTGATATAAAGCAGTTCCTTTTCTTCTTTTTTTATACCTTGTTTCTAAACTCCAAATTCGATTTTAAACTGAAAACTCCCGACCTCTTTAGTGCATCCAGAAGGGAGTCGGGAAGATGTCAGAGGGCTGGAGCACCTCTCCTACTCAGGCTGAGAGAATTAGGGCTGTTCAGCCAAGAGAAAAGAAGTTCTCCAAGCAGACTTATAGCGACCTTCTCGTAACTAAAAGGGCCTACAAGAAAGCTCGAGACAGATTCTCATCAATGACAGGATAAGGAGTAACAGTTTTAAGCTAAAGTAGGGTAGGTTTAGATTAAATCTATGGAAGAAGCTCTTCACACAGAGGGTGGTGAGGTGCTGGAAGATGTTGCCCAGAGTTGTGTTGGAAGTGTTTGAGGCCACGCTGGATGGGGCCTTGGGCAACCTGTTCTAGCAGGTGTCTCTGCCCATGGCAGGGTCGCTTCCACTCCATGATCCTTCCAAACTGTTTAATGCTTTCAGTTAAGTCAAAATTTGAACTGTCATCAGTGCAGATAAATATTCTTTCAAGCAGTCACTATTTGTATAGGCAGAAAGTACTAACTCATCCAAGAAAAAAAAGAACTTATGTAATGAACTCTCAAATAGGCAAAATCTAGGCAAAGAGAACATCATGTAGAAAGAGCAGTATTATACCTATCTTAGGAAGTGATTGCAACTACAGTTTTAAACATTATAGAAGAATCATTTTTCACTTGTTTTGTTAGCCAGAGTAAAAACTGTCAAGGGACTTTACCTGCACAACTTTATAACCAAGTAACTGAAGATGCCTCTGTTTAATAGCTTCTTCTCCCAGCAGATTATGGCTATTAACACAAAACCTATTTTGACCATCAACACAGAGAGCAATTCTAAAATCAAGCACAGAAAAAAAGTCAGTTCACTTAGTCACTAGAATTGCTGTAATTCCTAACAAGAATGAGACAGTACCTCCTCTTATTCCCAAACGCCTCCTAGAATTAAATGCAGGCTGGGATTTGCCTACTTTAGGACAATATAAATTACTCAGAGGGAAGGAGGGGAAAGACTGAAGTTTAGCAGAACTTATCTGAAAAGCAAATTTATATGCTCTAAACAAAAATCGCCACACAAGTTAATGATAAGAATTTGATAGTTTTAACACTACTATTGGTAAGCTGTTTTGAATTCTTCTAGCAGGAAAAACAAGCAAAATACTTGTCTCATGTTGGAAGTATCTAGCAGCTAGATTTATTCAATATATTAGTGATTCAAATTAAACCTGTATATGTGGTTGGCAAGCATCATGGACTGCAGCCATAGTTTTTCTACTTGGTTGCAGTTGCAACCACAGCACAGGAAGGGTGCCCAAATTTATATCTAGGGATTCTCAAAAGAATCCGTGTTTAGCTTGTTCTTTTAAATATGTATGCATTTTTCAGTGCAAATGGCATCTGTGGCAAATAATCTTACTTCAGAGGATCCATTAGAGAAGTGTATTTGTGAAGTAAAACTGATAAAGACTGTGCTAAATCCTTGCAGACACTCCCAATTAATTTGATTTTAATCTGCAAAATAATTAAACGTGATCAAAATAGATTAACGTAAGTCAGACCAACACCTCTTTGATCCTGACTGTCACTGGGTAGAGAGACTAATTATCTAACACCTTGTAGTCAGGAGGCAAGACAATGAAGAAAAAGTACAGATCTCTTGTTTTACCAGCTTTGTCTTTTTTTGCCTTTGGTTGTAATGTGAAACTTCGATGTTGTTGAGATCAATGCAAAATTCCAAGTAACTTTATTTTTGCCAGAGGTTTACCCTGGATACTTTTTATCAGTGTTAACCAGCACTTTACCTGTGGCACCTTTTATTCTCTTACCGTGTGTGTACTTCTTCACTTTGAGTAGCAGGCAACATAAAGCCTTCTTCATCTAATTTAATCTCAATATCTAGTATAGATGAAATCATGAGAAAATTAAAACCCATTTCATGTAACAAACATCTTACTGTGATTTTCATGCTCTGAGCTGCCAACCCTCCAGCTCTCCCTTTCATTACTCACCACCAAAGCAGAAAGATTAGGCAATTGCCACGGTGGCATTTCATTTTGCTTTAAATGAAAACAGTTGTTTACAAGGAAAAGGGAAACTGGCAGTAAAAATAAATTATAGCTGAGTTAGCAGCTATTTTCAGAGCAGTCCAGGTGAGTAAACATTGCAGTTATTTTCTCTCCTTGTTAAAAGTCACTTCGAAAATTACATAGAATTGTAGGGATTGGAAGAGACATCTGGAGATCATCTGGTCAAACCACCTCCTAGCACGGGTTTCCTAGACTGGGTTGCAGAAAAGTGTCCCATTCACTTACATATTTATCTATAAAAAGGGCAGGTAGAACTCAAGAAAAATAACTTGCTTGTGTCCAGATTCATAAGCAATTGTAAAAGCCAGGCCAAGGCCTGTAGCTACATTAATGGTACAGCTATGGTATTTGCTGCATGTACTGTAAGTGCAAAGTTAAAGTTCCCATTTCAAACCTTCCACAGAGCCTTCTTTGCATTCCAGTGTACTTTTTCCATATTTGCACAGTTAAGGATGCAAACAAAGGGAATATTTTTTTTCTATTTCTAGAAAATACATGGAATTTTTGATAGCGTAAGTACACATTTAATTAGTCTGAAGAACTAATGTTACTTACCAACTGTATAGAAATATGGTGTTGATACCTCTGATGAAAAATATATTCTTTTTTTCAGTAAATATAGTAGTCCACTCTTTACCTTTTTGAAGAGGTGAACATCCAGAAAGCCATGAGTTGTGAGAAAGGTATTTACTTGATACTTTGGAAGGAGTTTGGGACCCTATAGAATGACAGAAAACCCAATCAGACAAAAGAAAAGGCAAGATAAACTTTTGGCAATTACAAAATAATTCTGCAATAATGTAATAAAATGTACTTGGTACATTTCAAAGCTATGTCTGATGAAGACCTCAGCGTGAGGTATGGCCTGCTGGAAAATAAAACCAACCAACCAATCACCCCACCCCCAAACATCCTCAGCAAGCTTCTGTGCTATCATGCTGAATAATATGTATTGCTCATGAGAAATGCACAACTATTTCCGTTCCTCTTCATCAGGCCAACATCAAAGTGGCTGATCTTTTATGCGCTCCAAGACTTTACAAACCAAACCTTAAAAAAGGTAATAGTTGATGGAAAAGTAATACACAGAAATACAGAGAATGCACTTGAACTTATAGCTAGTCAGATCTTTCAAACAGACACATGGATCAGCCATTCAAACAAGTAACAACACTTCATATTTACACCAAGAAATACAGGCTGTTTTATTCAATTCCAATGTTTTTACTGCAAAGACAGCCCTCAGCTTCTATCAGTGTGCTCATACCTAATGACATCATCACCTGCTTTTAATGTCAGTTCCAGTTTTGTATCTACCGTACCTTATAAAATGGGCACTCCAGGGTAATGGTTAGAAAAAGCTGTGTTAGCTGGGAGGCAACAACTCTGTCCAAACCAGGTGGCTGAGCTGAAACAACAATATTCAAGTTTATAGGTTTACATTCAGCAGGGTAACTTCACATATGCTGTCATGCAGAAATTAGGAAAAGAGATTCAGTTAAACGTGCAGCTGTATTCATCCTTATGTGAATGAACAGAAAGATCAGCTACGAAATGATTTATTTAGAAAAATAAGGAACTGGTTTACAGAAATATCAACATGAGAAATATACAATCAGCAAGATCTTGGGGCTGTCAGAATCTTTCACACAAAAAAAAGGAAGATCTGAGAAATGCAAGATGTTCTACAGGAAGGCATAAACTTCATCTGAAGTCTTGGACAATTACGCATCTCCATCTTCTTCCTGAAACCCTGAGGATGGAATTGTAGTGCTCACTACAGGCAGGAGCTCAGGGCATGGAACAAAGAGGGGCACAGAGCAGAACCACCTCAGAAGTGTAGTTGGCAGATATGGTGCCAGCGGGAAGAAGCACCATGTAACCACAGTAAAGCACAAAGTAATTTATAAAGCAGGGCAAAGCACCAATCTTTATGAATCAGTAAAATATACGAGCCTTAGAACACAATTCATGTTTTTATCTAGATATTTTAAAATAAAAGCCAGCAGTTAAGGACAGGCTGGTATATTATGACACTACTATGTTTTACAGGCTTATTTTTATTTAATTAAGCCATAAATTATGCACTGCACAATATCTTTTATCAGATTTATCCATGTATCTCTTTTAGTTTTCAGAAGATTATTACAAAACAGTATGGAAGGGAAATAAAACCAAATTGAAAGCAAAAATACAATAATCTGTATCCTGAAAGGACAGAACAGGAAAATTAATAGATGAGGTCCTGGTTCTATTTTAAACTCACCTGAAAGGCTGGACACAATGCAGCCCGGCAGAAGCATCTAAAAAATGTGTGTAAGATGAAGGACAACTACAGAGAAAATCAGAGGGGTGGTATTTTTTGGAAAGGCATGATTAACTGAAATAGAATTTTTGTGGAATTTGAAATCTCTGTTTAAGACTGCAGTGCAATTTTCAAATTCTACTGAATGATGAACTTGAAAGGCAATTGCAACTGTGACAGGGAAGCCTCCTGATAACTTTTCTCCAGTCACCCTTATCAGCTCCTGGTTGTTTTGACAGGATTAGACATACCATAAAATAGTGAGAAATGGAGAGTGCTGGTGGAGAAACACCGCTTCTTACCTTGAAGCTGTTGCAGGAAAAAGGGACTAAATATTTTTGGCAGAAAATTCACTGGATAACGCTGAATAAGAACACATGAGTGCAGCAGATTCAACAAGGTGTGAGGCTGAAACTGACTAAAACGAGCATGTAGTATTGTTTCAAGCTTCCTAAACAAGGAAGAAGCATTTGGAGGGAGGTAGTTTAAAGTCCCGAATGGGACAATATATTCAGCAATCTGGTCAGTGGTAAAGCTGTCAGCATTAGAAATGAAACCTTCTGCCACTGCATCCAAGATAGGCTTCGAAAGGATCTTCTTTTGACAGCAGTACTGCATGACTTTGCTGACAGTTTCAGGATGCATAGTAGGGATGGACTTGGGAACATGCTTTTCCAGTGCTTCTGTAAAAATTTGTTCACGGTGTCCAAAGAACAGGAAGGCTTCCAGTACGCTTACCAACTCATCATCAGTAAAGTGAGGAACATGCTTTCCAGAATGCTTACATAATGCTAAGATTAAGGGAACTACCTGAGTCTGATGGAGAGCCACCAGCGAATTCAGTATTACACTTGTGAACTTTGGACTCAGCTGGTAAGCTATGGTTAAAGTGGCACTGTTCATTCTGTTTAGCAAGTCCCAGTGTTCCCTTTCCCCAACCACCACCTGCAGTATCTTATAAACCATCGCCATTTCCCTAGGACTCCAGTTCTCAATGTCTTTTTCTTGCATGCGACTCACAATCTGTTCCAGCATAGCATAACTTGGGCCTTTCAACTCGAGCAAACTCTCTCCAAGAGAGCAGAGATTGTCAACAGTCAGCTTTCTATTAGCAAGCCGCTCTTCACACTCTGAAAGCAAGCGTGCTATCAGTGTACTCTGGGGATCTACACGTAGCTTTATCAAAGCTTGCAGTGCATTCAGCAGCCCACTGTTGGACAATTTTGAGGACTGAAATTCAAACTGAAAGCATAATGCCCTGAAAACTTCATTCTCTAGCACATCTTCAGGGTTTTTCAGGCCGTTGTCATCCACCTCAACTTCAGAAATCCTCTGCAGGGCTCCCGATGCCATAGTATCAGACATAACTTCCAAGGAGCGAAGAAACTTAAAAATCTCTTGCGACGTACGGAGGCTTTTCAACGTCCTGAAGAACACTTGTTCCTCCGTCCACCGCTCGTCAGCCTTAGCGTTGCTGCCCGTATCCCCACAGAGATGCACGCTTTCATTAACAGAAAGGGACCGCATCCGCAGCTGCACGTGGCTTTTCCGACAAAACACATCCCGACATTTGTCCTTGGAACACAGCACCCTCACGGCCGTGGCACGATAGCTTTGGGGCTTTCGCCGTTCGCTGACGAAGCTCAAGCTTTTGCTTAGGGTCATCAAAATACGCCTGCTCGCTGGTGCGCCGGGTGAACAGAAGTGGAAGCTTTTCAGGCTGATCAAAGCCATGTCGGAACGAGCGTGTCCTCAGAAGACACCTAGAAGAAAAAGACGTGAGCGCACGAACCCGCCCTCGCCTCTCCCCCTCGCTTCTCGTCCTTCCTCGGCCCTTCGGAGAAGCGGCGCGGACCCGACAACGCCTCACCTCCAGCGCCATGACGGGTAGCGCGGCACGACGGGAGCTTCCGGCGCTCACTGCCTCGGCCCCGCCGGGTGCCGCGGGCTCCCGGCGCTGCTCTCCCCGCTGCCGCCTGGGCCGGGGCCCCGAAGCGAGCAGGCTGCCGGGCCGGGTTGCGGGGTGCCGGGGTGCCAAGCTGCACGGAACCGGGGCTTGCCGCGTTCCGGCTGCTCTGGCTTCCGGACGTGACATAAAAGCGGATGTGTCCTCACTCCGCGCTTCTCGTCTCAGCCCGGAGGGAGAGGAAGGGGACGGACCTATTCTGCTGTCTGGGACAGAGAGAAAGTGATTCCCAGCAAGCCAGCTCCTGTTAAAGAAACAAAACAAAACGATGCACGGACTGGCCTGGCTTTGATGTCGCAGTGTCGCCGTCCAGCTTAAAGCTCACGGAAAAGCGTGAAGGTACTGCGGAAGTTTCTTCTGTTTTTATCCCGTCTGCGGCCGCTCAGGATGAAGCGCTGCCAAACCGTGTGCGTTAGCCAGCTGGCCCGGCCTGTGGGACATTCGCTGGCAGAACCGGGGGTTTGGGAGGGACCTCTGGAGACCATCTAGTGCCAGTCCCCGGCAAAGCAGGTTCCCTGTAGGGGCTAGTACAGGAAAGCACTCTGGTGGGTTTTGAATATCTCCAGAGAATGAGACTCCACAGTCTCTCTGTGCAGCCTCTTCCAGGGCTCTAACGCCCTCAAAGATTTTTCTCACCTTCATATGATCTTCTGTGTTGCAGTTTGTGCCTGTTGCCCCTTGTTCTATTGCTGTACAGCACAGAAAAGAGCTTGGCCCCATCTGCTTGACTCCTGCACTTTAGACATATATAAGAAGTGGTGAGAGCCCTTCAAAGCTGTGTAACTACCAGTATTGGTGTCCCTGCCTCTATGAAAGCGTGTCAGGGCATGCATAGATAGCTTGCTTGGTCCTACAGCGTGTTGGATGCAGAGCTGATGGACTCACTGTTAATACTCTGAGTACTGTGAGTATTCTGACTCTTCTGAGTACTAAATCAAATTAGTTATAATGCAGATTTTCTTCCTTAGTTTCTTGTTAAGCCCTAGTTTAAGTCATGGAATCATAGAATTGCTCAGATTAGAAAAGACCTCAAAGATCATCAAGTCCAACCACAACCTAACCAAACTACCTTAATTCTAGCAACCCTGCAATCAGCAAATCCTGGTTTGTTTTCCCAGCTTAAACATTGTATTGGTTTTTGGCACATGACTGCCAACATAAAACCTGTTAAAACACTGTTGCTCTGTGAAGCTGCACAGAGAAAGGCCTCAGTGTCCTGGTGGACAGCAGGCTGGCCACGAGCCAGCAGTGCGCCCTTGTAGCCAAGAAGGCCAGTGGGACCCTGGGATGCCTTCTAAAGAGTGTGGCCAGCAGGTTGAGGAAGGTGATCCTCCCCCTCTCCTCTGCCCTGGTGAGGCCAGATCTGGAGTACCATGTACTCCAGTACATCCTGGGCTCCTCAGCTTGAGACAGGGAACTTCTAGAAAAGGTGCAGCAGAGGATGAGAAAGGGCTTGGAGCATCTCCTTTATGAGGAAAAGCTGAGAGAGCTGTGGCTGTTCAGCCTGGAGAAGAAAAGTCTTAGATGGGAATCTCATCACTGTTTATAAATACCCAAAGCAGGAGACAAGTGGACGGGTCCAGATTCTTCTCGGTGGTGTGCAGATAGATCAAGGGGTAATAGGTAAAAAAAAAAAAACTGGAGCACAGGAAGTTCCATGCAACATGAAAAGGAAATTCCTTAGTGTGTGAGTAACAGAGTACTGGGACAGGCTGTCTGGAGAGGCTGTGGAATCTCTTTCTCTGGAGATATTCAAGACTTGTCTGGATGCTTTCCTGTGTGACTGCAGTAGGGAACCTGCTTTAGCACTGGTGTTGGATTCAATAAATTGTAGAGGCCCCTTTCAACTCCTATAAATCTGTAATTTGTAATAGCACCCAAATTAGAGTACTTCTCTAGACAGCTCAGTATAAAAGAATTATGCTTTTCTTATCTTTTTTTTCTCTTTTTTTTTCAGTTGAACCCATATCACATAAATAGAATATCGTCTTTGAAGAGTGTATAGTGCAGGAAAGCAAGAGCGATGTAGGCAACACTCTCCCCTGAACGTGAGTGTGTTTCTCTTCTATGACTACACTTGTCTGCGGGTAGGTGTGGCTCATTTTCCTTTAATAGGCATCCTTTGAACAATCTGTGCCTGAAGCTCTTCTGGTTGATGTCAGCGATACAATGCTTCATAGGGACACTGTTTGGTGTGAATCAAGATAAAAGCAATTTCTCAATCTATTAATGACATAATTAACTGTCAAGCAGTTAATTGAACTGTTGTTTAATCAGTTAATTAAGCTGTATTTTCAGGATCAATAGCAGCAATGAAACAGATAATATCATGGACTTGTAAAATATTGATAAATTCCTACAAAACAGCCATCTATGCCTAATTACAAGGAATCATGTCATTGTGGCCTTGTCCTTTTTGGCAAGTACATGTACGCACCATTAAATATGCACAGTTCCTTCTCTCAGGAGGAATGCATATCTAGCACAATTTCCTCTAGATTTCCTCTAGGCCCTGTGAGTTTTCTTGTTTGCACATCTTCTGTAGGAGATGTAGGTCTGACTTCTGTCTCTATAAATCTACTAGCACCCAACACCAGTTAGAAGGGTATCTGGGGATTCACATATACACAGCAATCCATCTCTCCAAATCCAATGCACATGTTTTCAAATTGAAAGGAAGCATGTTGGTTGCTTAGCTTCCAGATTTCTGTCTATACAAGACTTCTGTGGTACCATGCGTCCCAAGTGGAAACCTGATAATCTTTCTTCCTTTGTTAGGTATGAGAAAGAATGTAGTAATGAAACACCACTTCATCTTTACTGCTTTTTTTTATCCATTTATTTAGCCAGGCATTTCCACTTGCGGACAGGAGAACGATTAGGGTGAAAGCATAGCGTAGAAGTAGGATTAATATGTATTTCTAGAGAGATTGAGGGTATTAAAAATGTATTTAATATGAATCTTCTGAATTTCTGTATTGTCAAACAAAAATTTCTTCTGAAAAAGGAGAGCAAGAAATCATTCTGTGGATTACTTTGCTTGTATGAAAAGAGTTATTTGAATGAATTTGTTTAAATATCTGTAGGGAATATAATCAATTTAAGGTAAAAAATTATGCTGGGAAACGTAGAGGTACAAAATACAATGAAAGCCTTATTTTTCCAGTAATTGCATTTTTCTTAGAGTTCAGGTATGGCACAGCCGGAGTGCTCCTAAGAAGCTATCACTTAGTTTTACCACTTTTCATTCACAAGTGTGCTTTTAAATATATATATATGTATTCTAATAGGAGATACTTTACTTTGTAGCGTTGGGAGAAATGTCTTGCCATGTGCGCAGAGTACAGTATTCTTCTATTTTCCCTGGTAGAAACAGCAAAAAATAATGCCTCAAATGATCTTGAAATAGGTTTTCACAAATTGATGTGTGGTGTGGTTAGTAGGCTGAATGTGTTATGTAGTTGAATCTGGGTGGGCAGTAGGCGAAATACAAGAAGCTGGGTGCAAGAACGTGGAAAAAAATCTCAATTTTGAAACTGAAATTACTGAGTTTTAATTCTGGGTATTTTGGTTCTGTTGCATCTCTCTAGTAATAGCAAAATATCGGCAGAGGATTAATTTGTAATATATGCATAAGAAATATTCTACTTGTCTCATTCAGTAGTCCTTGGTACTGTCCTTGTATCTTTTGTATTCTGTCTGTGTCGAAATCATAAAAGTTTGAATGAGAGAAGTAGAGAAGTTTTATAGACAAAGATACGCATCTCACTCATGCTACTTCTTGCAAGACTTTGTGAAGGAGTGGCATTTTACCCTGCAGAAGATCTCTCTAAGATTTTTTTCTTATTTCAACAAAAAGAAACAACATCCAAAACAAATAGATGCTGTAGTTGCATTTCTGTAACAAGCACCTTCTTGAATCGGGGAGTGAAAAATAGTATTTGTTTCTAAAATAAAATCACAGAGGATGAAGCCTAAGCGCATTTGTGCAAAAATTAGTGATTTCAGAGAAGATGAAATTAAGAATTTAAAAGATATTTATCAGTTGTTGTAGTTGTATTTGGATGTCACCAAATCTGTGTATTCTTTTATTTTGAAATGTATCTCAGAAAAGAGACTAAGGCAGCCACCAACTTAAAGTGGAAAATAAAACTTAGATCATAAAAATAGTATTTAATTTTGAGCCAGTCTATTTGCACTGCTTATGTGCTAGATTCTTGACTTTACATATTGCAGTGTAACTGCAGTACAGCATGTGTGGTAAATACCACGAGTCCTTAACACTGTGCCCTGCAAAGCTTGCTTGTGAGAAGTGGCTTCTTTTCATAGCAGATACCTAATTTCCAGGTTAAACAGCAATACTGTTGTGCACTTAAGGTATCTCTGACAAAGAGTGCAAAATCTTGCTGTTGCAGTAAATTCACATTTTCTTTCTCTTTTTTTTTCTGCAGTGTCTTTAAAAAAATAAATAAGTAAAGCATTCCTTGTTTTGGAAAATGTGCTGCGATTTAAAAAGGAGATTTTTGCTCCTCTATGCAACACAGAAGGGACAGGCAAAAGCCATAGCTGAGGAAATATGTCTGCAAGCAGGTGCCCATGGACTTGAAGCTGACATGCACTGTTTAAGTGAGATGGACAAGGTGAGATACTCTGTGCTGCTTTGAAAAATAGGTATTTAATGGCTGCATTTTTCTTCATTTGCTTGAGTTGTGGCTGTCGATAGCAGCAAGGCCTGAGCACATTTATCTACCTAAAATGGTTTCAGATTTTCAGGTCTTTAAGAGTCAGTAACTGGGACGAGACTTACAGACTCATGATAGCCTTCTGCCAAATCTTTCTAATGGTTTTCATACTTTTCACATACTTTTTCATAGTAGAACTGTGAATGCCACAGTAAATCTTTGTTTCTAACAACAGTCTGGTGACTTTTTGAAAGCTAATTATATACACAGTACTGGATAAATTTGGTATTTACTGGTCAACTCT